ACAATGCTGGCACAATCAAATGTGCTTCCTTTACAGCACACATACTTACTCAAATGTCATTTTTTACAGCGATATATTTGTATATCCTCGTCGTTTACTCCGCCAAATTGATGCCGCAGGAAAACCACGGTATTGTGCACGGAATAGACCTCCCGTGGTCTTCTGGATACTGTTCCGAAGGGCAAGAATATTCTTTAACGTTGTCTCATATCTAATACCTTTAAACGATATATATAATTGTAATATCATTTGAATATGACGGTAAATTTCGCCGAAAAGAAAATGTTATAATAGCTAGGTCGGTAATCGGGCGGCCCCGAAACAGAAGGCCGTGGTTCGTGTCACGATCATTTACACACTTATTTTTTTTTTTACTTTTTTCTATACCAGATCACTGCTTTCTTTATTTCTTATTTTTTTAATTTCCAAAACACACGATTTACCTTCTTCCGGTCCTTCAGGTACTTTATACATTAAACGACACATTGGTCGCCTACGAATACCTACCATAAATTGGATGAAGTACACGGAACTTACGTAAGGCGCACAGTTTTTTGTATAATGTAGATCGTTCGTTAAAATAGTTTTATTTCACGGTTTAAAACAAATATAAGATTTAAAACTAAAAATGAAATCGCTCAAAGAATATTCGAACCGAGATCCGAGCAGGCACTGCACAAACCTAACCATCCCAAACAAGTTTTTAAAAAGATTTCAATTTATTGTTGATAAGCAAATTTGTTGCACTTTAGACTTATCTGCTGGTATATGAAGTCAAGACCTTAAGATTGCAAGTTCTTTAAGTTCAATGTTACAGCCACACGGCCTAAATATATATATATATATATATATATCGATGGTCCCTAGGTAAAGTATCGAAAGTGAAAAATGCAACTTTTCAGGAGAGCGAGTTAAAGTTTATTTTTTGCATAACTTTGTCATTTATGATATGAACTTCATAAAAATTTGGATTCACAGTTGTATTGGGCTTATTTATTATTACGTCATTGCAAAAATCGATAGTTATAAATAGTTTTCGAGAAAAGTAAGTTACGATAGTATACAGTGTAAATGAACTTGCTTTATGAATCGAAACTGGCACTTTCGATTATTTACAGGGAACCTCATATACACAAATGTATCGAATCTGCCGATTTCGATATTTTACGTTGGCTTATGTTAGGAAAATTTTATTGAAAGTGTCATATTCGATTATTTACTTCGTAGATTGCTCTTACAATTATTTTGCAATAGAAAAACAAGAAAATAAATTACATAAAACATCTTTATTAAAGTGTGTTACAAATTAAACAAATGTATAAATTGTTGATGTAAATATTTAAAATCAGTCTTTGTTACCAACTTATCTATGGTAAAATTTAGGAAACAAACAAAAATGTAGGAGTTCATTGGTAGATACGTAATACTAATTCAGAAAAATATATTCATCAGAATAACTAATCTTGAATTTCTGTCTTAACAAAAAATATTATAGTATTTACATCATAAATAGAGAATAGGGAAAAATATCTTATTAAATGAATATTACTCATCGGACTCATCAATATTTCAGATGAATAGAAAAATCCGTTGCCGTAAAACCTATGAAATATCATTATTTTTTGGGTATTGTTTATGAACGACATAAATAAATCAAATCTTTATACTTTGTTACTGGTAAAAGTAGTGAATCTGAATAAAGATTTTTTAAGGCAGGCTCGTCCGGGTAAGTACCACGACCTCACAGAAGACCGACGTAAAGTGGAAGTATAATACTTTCGTGTTTCGTCTGGTGAGTGAGGTGGCCGGAGCCCAATTTTCAAAAGGTTGTCAACGCATCTTGACCCTCGGGTGTAGCAAATGTCAATGGGCGGCGGTAATCACTTAACATCAGGTCACCGCTTGGCAACTTTTCATATAAAAAAAACTACGTCGGCCGACACACTCTTTTTGCGGCTTCTTGTTTCTATAGTAGTATTTACACAAAAATAACACTTCAAATCACATTTAAAATACAATCTGGTTCCTCTTTTCTTACACTAACATCTTTAATGCTGTTTTACTTCACATTTTCATTTGTATTGTCTCTCTTCCAATTTTTGTCATCTAATAAAAATTAAAGTCGTAAAGATCACTCTTGGTTTCTTCTACAACGTTGTCAGGTCTCCGTTCAGCCTTTGCCCGTCGTACTAATAATGCGTACGATCATCGGTTAAGAGCGTAAATTAGTTTTTTCTTAGATTATCTCTCTATGAGGACTTGTACACTATCGCCCTCTATCTAAGTATGGCCTTGCTCTAAACAACGATGAGCAATATCTACGCCAAATCGTCTTGACAACTGCATTTATAACGAATATACGATTCTATTCCTATTCTGGCCCACACAATTATCGGACCAAGTAAGAATTTCTTAGTACCCTGATCTATCATTTGCGTTTAAATAATGCTTCAAACAGCTACATACTTCATTAGCTCCTCTTTTACCGGTACTTTCTATCCACATGTGCTACATGAGGATACGAATTACTGGTACCTTCTTTAAAAGCTAAATCGAAAACAGCCAACGAAAGTTACATACCAAAGTAAAATAAAAAAAAGTTAAATACAGAAAATTTCAGCTTATAATAAAACAAACCAATATCTCGTGAGTATGGATGAATACATAAGCCATTTAAAAATGTTTACACACAAACCTGTTGTGGTGTAAATTTGCTGGTAAAAAAATATTTGGACGTAAGTTTTTTTTCTTGGTTTTATTAATTTTATGGGTGAACTTATTGATAAACTCCCATTGCCTACCTAGTATGAGTTCCTTTCCATTTCGTCTGAGGTATTGCTAACTTTCGTTTTTACGGGATACCTTGATCTTTTTTCCGGAGTTAGTTTTAAAAATTGGTTTTCTTTCTTTTCCTGTACTCCTACATGGAGAATTACATTCCGAAACAGTTATGTATGACTCTGCACTTGGTAACTATGTTATAGGTTTAGCATAATCCTCACCTAACTGTTAAGACCTAACTCTAAAGACTCGGGTTCTTGCTCTCCATTTTAACTTCAGGTAATAATAATATTACCTCCAGTCAAAGTGACGAACAAGAACCCTATTTATAGAATACTATTTCTTGTGCGGGATACCCGACTTCTAAATCTGGGGAAGGTAATAGAGTTATTTCCCTGCTATTCATGAAAATTGGTGAACTTTGGTCACCGTCTTCGATGATAACCGAGTTGCATGGGAAGTTAAACTGTGGTTATGTCCATCAATTCATCGTCCAAACAAATTTTTCCAATCATTGAAGACGCAGTTGGTGGGTATCGGTGACTCTAAAAAAAGTAGGAGGTAAGTAGGTAAATTAAATAAAAATAATAAAAATATTATTTAAAAAAGTCTAGTTTTATGAATCACAGAAAATAAATATTATAAGTAAGTTATTTCACTTTAATATAAGAACTTACCTATATCGAATCTTTACAAAAAAGAAATAAAATCCATCCAAAACAATCGAAAGTGGCACTTCCAATTGAAATTTGACTTTGTAATACAACGTAAAGTATCGAAATCGTCAGTTTCGTTAGAATTATATTATGAAAAAACCACGTAGGTAATCGAAACCGGTACTTTCGATACTATTAGGAAATTACAAAACCCGTCATAAACAATCGAATCTACCCGATTCGATATATTACGCGGGAGGGTAACTTTCTCATCACACAATATATTTTATTAATAGAGAATAAAAAAAACATTAACAAAATAGCTATAAGATTTTTGCACGCCAGGCGCGCCTCACTGCGGCGTAAACTAGCGATAGTGGTAGTTCCGTCCTTGTTTCACACTCGCCGATGCAGCGTAATCTCGCGAAAGTTAACATTCGTTGTTTTACGCCGGATAGACTGTTACGTTTCGTTATTATACGTTTCTAAAAAACGCATACACAATGACTTTTTAAAATTTTTGAAAAGAAGTTTTTTTTGAGATCTCAAAACAGCAATAAAAAAAAATTGCAATTTTGTATATTCGATACTTTACCTAGGGACCATCGATATATATATATAACGTTAAGAGTACAAGTAACGAAACCAGACGATGCAGGTAGTATCAAGGAGCATCGCCATTACGTTTGACCTTTGATCGCCCATCCATGGGGTCCCACTCATCTCATTTGTTCCGATAGGCTGACTAGGATTATAATCCCTTTCGCAGAAATGACCTCGTGAGCCAGGTCTGGATTTTAGTCATATTGTCTGTTTCTCGTCATATGGAATGCTAATGTCCACCAAAACTACTCGCAATTCTGCCATCCATTAACGCGATATTCGGTTTGGTCACGCATTTTCTTCGTTTATATTATTTTAATTATAATTCTTGCTTCGTTAATTATATTTCTTCATTAATATTAATTATAAAAGTTCCTACATTAAGGCAGTATCCGATCCACGAGACTGTATAAGAGAGTGGGCTCATGATGTAGGATCCTGGCTACTATTTTGTGTCTATACAGATACGAGTTAGAAAGTATAGACCAGAGCGTGGTAGCATGCCGAAAAGTCTCCCTGGGATGCGCTAGCTCAGCAGATGTTTACGGTACTATCCTTTAGGTTGTATCTCCGGTAGTTGACAAAAACCTCTGTTTCCCCAACTCCGAAATTATATATAACTATTACTAGAATTCTATTATCATTATAGACTAGAATAACTATTGTCATATATTGATTTTTTTAATTTATATTTTTTGTAGATAAATGAACAAAAACTTTCGGTACTGTAGGATTCGAACCTACACCTTCTAGTTTCGCACCCAGACACTTTACCAACGAAGCTGCCGATGTCCTCACGCCATCTAGTGTCCACCCTTTACAGCACCTTACAACACCTTACAAAGAACATTCAACGACGCACAGTCTTTCTTTTTTAAATTTAACTTTTGTGACTCTTTAATAATTGAAAAATTTATATGCATCTGTGAACATTGTAATTACCTGTTTTTCTTTTAATAGGAGCCGCAACAGCTGAAACCGTGGCTAGGAATTTGGGACGCCAGCAAACCGCTTTCGGAATGTATTCAGTATGATCCGTTTCAGCAGAAAGTTACCGGTAAGGCCCGAATTGCTTATGAATTAATTTATGAAATTGTATTTAAATTGATGAGAATTTGAGTGAAATTTCTACAACTTATTGAATATGCTTCAATCTTTTAATTGTTTTTATAAACATTCTAATTTATATATATTAGAGGAATAATATTTAAGAGTGATTTGATTATTTAACTACAAAGTAAAGTTCTTTTAAAATTATTATAATTTTTATAATTATACAGCGTGTCGTTACCACCGCGACTTTTTAAATTTGTATTAAACGTTTACATTCTTTAAACAACAATATTTACCGAGTTATTAAATTTTCCAAAACAAACGATTTTAGAACACCCTTACGTATGAAACTGTAACGTAAAGTTCATTAGTAAAGGTCACAAAGCATATGAATGGGTTGAATGAATTTAAAAGAGACAAAACATACTGTTAGAAGGAGAGACTTGTAATGCGACGCTGTGGCGCGAGTTGTATAGGATGTTACAAATTTTGTTTCTTTTTTACTTAATTAGTTTGTATGAAAAATATTTTTTTTAATTATGGATTTTGTTTAACGTTAATATTATTTATGATTACTGGCAAGTAGCGTTACACGCTGTATAACCCCTTCTCATCGATTTCTGTACATTACATGCATTGGAGTGAAAATTAAATATTATTTTCTGTTCTCTAAGACTTTCTTGCAGATCTCGGTTCTTGCTATAATCCTGATGATATAAGTAAAGAAAGAAGATCGCAATATTGTTCAAATAATTTGTGACGTCTAACCAAAACTTTTTCTTCCTCATTACAAATGAGAAATGTTATAATGTAAAATTATTGTTCAATATTAAAATCAATTTCATCTAAAAACTGTTGATCTATAGGACTAAATTATCCAGTGTAGTAGTGATTTTCACTACTTTTATATACAATATAATTCTTCTGTACGTGTGTATGTCACTGAAATCCTCCTAAACGGCTGGACTGATTTTAATGACATTTTTTTGTATGTCTTCAGGTCGATTCGAGAATGGTTTCACAATTCGGTCTACTACAATTTATTTTATTTCTAAGTTGTCGAATTTAATTCGTGTACACAGGACGACGTCTGTTGGGTCCGCTAGTGACTATATAAAATATGTAAAACATCTATTGAACACGATATGACGACAACAAAACTACATTTAAAAAAGTAAAAAGAACCACGCATCTAAATTAATCATTTTTCCGTCACGGGTCAATCTGCAAACATCAAGAGAACTGGGCTGATCGGCCACGAAGCAGAAGCCAATCGCAACTGTGCAAGCCTACGATTTAATTTAATATTTTATAACAGCCATGATAGCTCAGTGTCCAGGCGCTCGCCTTTAATATATTCGAGCAACCTGAGTTCTATCCCCGGTGCCGGCACCGGGATAGAACTATGAAATTGTCATTGTTTTAAGTGCTGAATTATCACGTGCTCAGCGGTGAAGGAAAACATCATGAGGAAACCTGCATATTTTCAAAATAATAACAAAAAAATATTTCGAAGATATGTGCAGTCCGCCAATCAGCTTGGGGCCGCGTGTTGGACTATGCCCTGATACCCTCTGTACATAGGAGGCCTTTGCCCAGCAGTGGGACATGTATAAAAGTACAGTAAAGTAACAGCCTATATATACATATTTTTTTTGTTATTATTTCGAAAATATGCAGGCTTCCTCACGATGTTTTCCTTCACCGCGGATCACGTGATAAGGCAGCACTTAAAGGTAAAAACTTCATTGGTGCCGGCACCGGGGATGGAACTCAGGTTGCTCGAGTATATTGAATTAAAGGCGAGCGCCCGGACACTGAGCTATCACGGGACATGTATAGGCTGATACTTTACTGCTTTTTTTATAACAATCGAATGGGTGAATTTTGTTGTTTCAACTTGACATAACTCCCTTCGCAGGCAGCGAGAACTGTCTCTACGTGAACGTCCACACGCCGAAGCTAAACGCGGGCGCCCTACTTCCGGTGGTCGTGTTCATCCACGGCGGGGCCTTCATGTACGGCTCTGGTTCAGTCTACGACGCCTCCCATCTGATGGACCGCGACATGGTGGTCGTGACCTTGAACTATAGATTGGGCCCTCTGGGTGAGTTCAGACTGGCGGCCACACCTTGCTTTTGTGCTGTGTTAGAATCTGTAAATCAGTTACAATGTAGTATTAATTGATTTAACAATGACAACTGTTTTCTTTTAATGTTTAAAGTCTATAACTCAAATACACTAGAATTGAATCGTGATTTAATTCGCTAAGTATCAATTAATCTTTTTGAAATTATGTTAATTGTTAAGAGGCATACTTTTGTGGTGTATATTTATAGTTATTTTTCTATTAGGTTTCTTAAGCACCGGTGACGAGGTAATCCCAGGCAACGCAGGCTTAAAGGATCAGTCTTTCGCCTTACAATGGGTGAAGCATAACATCATGATGTTCGGAGGGGATCCTGACAGCATCACTTTGACCGGTTGCTCCGCTGGTGGCGCTAGCGTGCACTACCATTACCTGTCACCTATGTCTAGAGGTTAGTATATTTTTCCATATTAAATTTCTATATAACGTGCTCTTAGCAAACAATGATATTATATACAAAAGTGTCATACTAGCGCACCGTTCACTCAAATTACACCAGTTGGTGTAATTAGATTGGAATTTTAAAAACTGCTATCTCTTTCCACATTACACGTTCTACATTATCTGTCACATTCACTTGTTTATGTCATTTAATAAAAAGTGGATCAATTTTTAAACGCCGCTCAGTATGGACACGCGTCATCCAGTAATACATTTGTGATTTTTTCGGAATAATTGGCTAGTGAGAAAAAATACGAAGCAATTTTACTATCAGCAGTGCTTATCACTAAAGTAACATGACGCCAACGCTATAAAGGAAAACATTGATTTTCAAAAGCAAACAACTGAACATTAATGTTAGTTTTTCTTATATCTATTTACAACGCCTCCGTGAGGAGTACGGTTAAACGATAAAAAATTGCGTTGCCATTATCTTGAAAAATTAAATAAAAACTCCTTATTAATGTTCCTTATATTTGCTAAAGTTTTTGAGTAGGAACAGTGAAAACACCACAAGTGACAGTTTGGATGTGGCTCATATTTTTTGTACAGCGCAGCGTATGATCCAAACTTTAGCACAGTAGCAACTTTAACATAGAATATAGCTACTTTTACGGTGGTAGGGCCACACAGCAGCCTCGACTGTTGCACGAATGGGCTCGTCCGGGTAAGTACCACGATCTCACAGAAGGCCGGCGTAAAGTGGAAGTATAATACTGTGCCGTTTCGTCTGGTGAGTGAGGTGGCCGGAACTCTTAGGTTTAGCAGATGTCCATGGGCGGCGGTATTCACTTAACATCGGGTGAACCGTCTGCTCGCGGCAACTTTTCACATAAAAAAAATGAATAACTTTAACCTAAAGTTTTAAAATTACTTTAAAATTAATAAAATTTTATCATATTGACTGCTTGATTTTACCCCAATGTAATACATATTAAATGGAACTAGTTTACGGATTTTACCGCGTTTTTATTTTCGCCTGTCCTGTGACCATGAACGCCGCAGAGGGTTCGAAACGTCGGGAAATACAAAATCAAAATAAAAACGCGATAAAATCCGTGCTACATACACGCACATTGTATCTTAAATAGTTAAAGCATTTTGTAGACAAATTGTGAAAAAAAAAATTTCCGGCGTCGATAGTCTAAATTTCAATAGGCAAAAACGACATCCCTTCACCAAGGGTTATTTGATAAAGCAAAGCATGCTATCAAATATATTTAAAAAAATCACACTAACATTTAATATTACTTCTTCTACCTACATCATTCTCTGCACTGCTTTTTTTATTATCAATAAGACTTTGAAAACTGAAAAAGGAGTATGATATATTCATATCTTATTTCATTTTGCATGTCTTGGCTTTTATATCCGTCTTCACTACATAGTATAAAACAAAGTCGTCTTGCTGTCTCTCTGTCCCTACGCAATAGATCTTGATGCGGTCTATTTACTAGATTATGTGATTCAAGAGGAAGGTTTATATCTATATATATAATACGCTGCACCGATGCGAAGCCGGGTGGGTCGCTAGTTTAAAATAACCTATTCTGTTCTATCGGATTTAGATGTCGCAAGTGTCGACCACCGCACTGTTTATTTTATTTCTTAATAAATATAGAATGTCACATCACTACATATGCCAAAGCCAATAATGTTCGGTGAATGACCGCGTGAAGTACACATTTATTGTACAAATATCAAGCATAATTATATTTATTTTAGGGATAAGCTAGCATAAGAAATGCGCTTTCACAATTTATATTCAGATAATGCGTTTGTGAATGTTGTCATCCAACAAATAAGAGCAACGCAAATATTTCCTTCCACAAGCTATGTACTGCACGGGAAGAGAGGCCTGTTGATATTATGCTACTAATCTTTTATGTTTACTAAGCAGTTATTTTATTTTAGGCGTGATAGCTCAAAGTATATTAAGGCGTGATGCTCGCCTTAATATACTTTCGATCCCGGTGCACGCACTAATGAAATTGGTAATGTTAAGTGCTTACTTATCACGTGGTCAGCGTTGAAGGTATCATGAGGAAACCTGCATATTTTGGAAATAGTCACAAAAAATATTTCGAAGATATGTGAATTCTGCCACCCGCCGTGGAGTCGAGTGGTGGACTACGCCCTTATACCCTTTGAACAGGGGAGGCGTTTGCCCAGCAGTGGGACATAACACATAATATAGGCTGTTACTAAAATTAAATCATGTTGGATTAGAGGCAATAAGCGCCCATTTACTAGCTTAGTTGACTAACCTCAATTTTAAGTAAAACCAAGTAACAAAAAATTATAATTTAAAACTACGCTGTGCAATAAAAACAAACTAAGGAGGTAAGAGCAATTAAGTCATGCAATTATTCCGCGTAGTCTATGAAAAGTATTCGATAGGCCTTTTACAACTGCGCTCTTGGAGATTGAATAAAAACCTTTCAGACGAGATGAAGACGCGTCAAATTAATCTGATTACTCTCCCCAATTGTGATGTCATTTGCATTTTAATAGATAAAAGCACCAGACTCGTTTATATACTGTGAAATTATGTTTTTAAACATACTTGTTGAAAGAACTACTTATTAACAGTGGTGGGACCTAGTAACAGCTTCTACTGTTGCACGAATCAGCCTCGTCCCAAGGACTCGCAGAAGACGGACGTGACGTGGAAGTATACAGGGAGGCTTTTCTAAAGGTGCCCTAATTCACACAGGAGGTTCAGACTCGGTAGTATAATCGTTTCTTGAAATCAAAACAAACTATTTTTAATTGCCTTTCCTTTCTCAAAACAGCAGAACTTGTTGACAATGCGGTAGTCATTCATAAATGCATCGTATACTTTTGAAACGAACTTGTTTGCGTGTTAGTTATGAACTTTTTGAGATAAGTTCAAATGAATGTAATTAATTAATTGCGAGTGATTTTAAATATTTATCATTATTATATAACATTATTTATGTCTAGAATTTAATAATAAGAAATGGATACACTTAGAAAAGCCTCCCTGTATACTTTAACCTTTATATTGATGGCAACGCCTTTACAATTCGTGTTATAGATGCCCATTGACAGTGGTAATCGCTTCAAAACAGCTAATTTAAACACTTTGCAACTTTACAAGAATTAGAGAGCTACCACAGTTAACCTGATCGACGATTGTTTCAGACACATTCCACAGAGGCATCGCGTTCAGCGGCTCTGCCTTCGCCTCGTGGACGCACTCCGTGAAACCCGCTGAGAAAGCGCGCAGTCTGGCCGCCATTGTGGGCTGCCCCACCACCAGCAACAAGGAGATGGCGGATTGCCTAAAATATAGACCGGCGGAGGTTATCGTCAACGGGCAAGCTGAGATGTTTGTAAGTTTCTTTTTATGTAATAAGATGGCAAGCGAGCTGGCGACTTCTCGCCGGTCTTCTGTGAGATCGTGGTACTTTCACTGACGAACCATTCGTGCGACTCTTTTGTTTATTGTGTATTGTATTCGATTTATGTACCAAATGAATATTTTTCTTTCTTTCTTTCTATTTGAGATTAGATTAATATTGTTCAATCTTGCTCGAATTTCGACTACTCGGCGTCCACTATTCTTATAAAATCGTAATTGTAACTTGACACTACGTAATTAGGAACCATATGGTAGCGTAGAGACAATTTAAAAAATAAATAAATAGGCAGGTACTCTGTCAAGAAATAATATTGAGATTATTCGAAACTACTTCGAATTTTTCTGTTATATAATGTAGCAAAAATACAATAAGTCAAAACTATACAGCGTGTCGTTACCATCGCGACAATAAATGAACACACAGATAGGGGATAACTTTTTTAAAGTTGTATTAAACATTTAAATTCTTTAAACATCAATATTTACAGAGTTATTAAATTTTCCAAAACAAAGAATTTTAGAACACCCTTACCTATAAAAGCGTAACGTAAAGTTCATTTGTAAAGGTCACAAAGCATATGAATGGGTTGAATGAAGTTAAAAAAGACAAAACATACTGTTAGAAGGAGAGGCTTGTAATACGACGCTGTGGCGCGAGTTGTATAAGATGTTACAAATTTTGTTTCTTTTTTACTTAATTAGTTTGTTTGAAAAATATTTATTTTTAATTATGGATTTTATTTAACGTTAATATTTTTTTATGATTATTGGCAAGTAGCGTTAGTCGTGTGTTCATTTATTGTCGCGATGGTAACGACACGCTGTATAAAAATGTATGAGGGTATGTTATGACTTTATTTATCATATTTTATTTGTTTTCTATTTTTAAACTAAACACACAGATTTGAAATTATAGTAAGTAATTAACGTGAACAATGTAGAAACATATTGTTCATTCTGCCTGCTTAGCCCTACTATAATAGTAATTAGTAGTAATAAATAAAATCAAAGACTAATTTAGTTTCCTATAAAAACAATAATTTACTTATTATTCGTTTTGCACTTAATTTATGTAGGTATGTACATGTCGATTCAAAATTATTTATTGTTTAACAAACTAACTACATTCAAACCTACTTTAAGGAAATAGACTGTTTAACTTATTATATGCATCTATGTATCGTATAACATACTCGTATGACTCAAAATGTGTTTCATAGATAAGTAAAACCTTATATATTGTAAAATTATTTAAATGTCATTGAAGATTTTTTATACCTAATAAAAATCTTTTTATCTGACATATATCTAGTCATATAATCAAATTTCTTAAGTTGCAATAACAAGTCCTTATGCTTTTCATGACATTTCAGAATCTAGCTTGTTTTTACTAACGTGCTACCAGAAATTAAAAAATATTCTTGTAATATGAATTATTTTTGTAAAATGAATGAATACTCGTCACAATGTAATTTCAGCCCGGGAAGCATTTTATATCGGAAAGGCGAAGCAATAACTATATGTCGAATTAATTTCTTCATAACGATGCTGTCTATGGTTGTCACTTGCGGTGTGCACTAAAAAACTGCATGTATATATTATTCCCAAGTCATTCCCAATAACGTTAGGCAAAAGAGGGTGGTAGTGAAAAATCTAGCTAATACCACCTTTGAATACTTCTTTTGTACTTATTTTTTTTTAAACAGAAAGATTCTAATGTTGTGTAATCCCCTACCTTAGACCCTATGGAAAAGAAAAAGCAGAAGATATGGATAGAATATTGTACAGATGCAACGAAATAAAAAATATTTAATACTTGTGATTTAAAATAAAATCTTGCTATATATTCAGTGGCCATAATAAAGTTAGCGCATATTTACATATGCATTACATTATTCATAGTCTTAACAAACCGAAATAGATGAATACTGAACTCGTTCCATTTTATAGACAATGACTGTGTCTCGTAAATGAAAACATTTTCCACAATTTTTTTTCCTACATATTTATAGTGCAGTCGTTAAATAACTAAAAAAATATTTTATCTAGCCCTTTATTTTAATGAATCGAAAATCTACCCTGATTGTCAAGAGCCTAAAATTCCAACAAATGATTCTAACAGAGATTATTCATTGGAATATCTAAATACTCTGAGTAATCGGATATACATATGTATAAACCAGTATTTATGTATACATAGGCAAAGGAAGATTTAAACATCGTGATTGGCCGTGAGAACGCTTTGTTTATCCGTGACCATTGCCATTTATGTATAAAATAAAACGTAATAGATCCCTTCGTACCAAATAAAAATAATAAATATATTTATGAGGTATTTACGTGCTAACCCTAGTAATGTACCGACGGCATGCCTTCGATTTCCGTATGACGACCTAGTTTATTTTTAAATTCTCATTAGACATGTACCGCAAGCATCGTCATCTTGTCTACATATGAAAAACAATTTGCCATCCAATGAAGAATAATAAATAGAAACCAATGATTTCTGAAATTTACGCGAATAGACTATTAAACCCGCATTGAAATTTCAGTTTAATGGCAAACTAGCACTAAAAATGAAAAAAATCTATAGTATATTATAACATATTATTAACTTCCGTTTTAAGTAATTCGACTTAGAACATTATCCTGTCTCATCATTGTCCAGAAGTTGTTTGGCCGAAGCGGATTTTTTGACACTAGCCATTGGCGAAAGCCGATATACAGATGCATAAATATTGTGTATGTAACATGTCACACTAAAACACACACAGAGAAGTAATTTAGAGAACACATAATAAACAAATCTTGAAACCACTTACAAGTTAGTGGTTACAGATTTGTAGACACTTTACGGTTGTAGGGCCACGCAACACTGTTGCACGAATGGGCAGGTCCGTCCGGGTAAGTACCACGACGTCACAGAAGACCGTCGTAAAGTAGAAGTGTTACACTTCTGCGTTTCGTCTGGTGAGTGAGGTAGCCAGGGCCCACTCTATTTAAAGGTGGCAATGCATTTGCAACCCTACGGGTGTTGTAAATGTCCATGGGGGGCGGTTATCACTTAACATCAAGTGAACCGCCAGCTCGTTTGCCACTTTCTCATATAAAAAAAAAACAAAAGTAAACACAATATTTACTAATCGTAGAGATAAAATGTTATTGCTTAAAGAATTAAAATTCAATAAAAATAAAACCTTACTTATGGACGAACTCCCCGATCAACCTATTAGGTGGTATGGAGATAAAAGAAGTAGGTGTAAAGGTAAAGAAAACAATTTTAAAATAATACTTACAATAAAACCGTTTAAAAACTTTTAAGTTAAACGGTTTTATTTTATGTTTTTTTTTTTGTTAATTTTTTTTTTTTAATATTGTATTGTCATCTAAATTAAATGTGTACCAAATTTCAGATCAATCTGACAACGGCAAGGTGCTTAAATTTCAATTTCTAATTTTGACCCAAACAAACAAATTCCGTACGGGTCGAGCTAAATAAAACCGTTTAATAAAAACAATAATACTTTGTACGAATATTACGCAGTAGTGATTTGATACGATGAATGAGGATAGATAATGAATGAATGAATGAATAATACTAATATATAGATAATGGTAATGAAAGTAAAAGGTACTGATAGAGATCGACACATATTTATTACTTAAATGAAAAGGAATAATACTAGCTAATCAAAAAACAAGTTCAAAAGATAAATAGCTTCGTATTACTCCATAGAAGTAAGTTATTTAGAGTTGAATTGGACAAAATTTATTCAGTATCAACAGAGGCGATCTAATATTTTCCGTGCCGATTAAAAAATTCGTCTGTAACATACCTGAAACGACCTCATGAAGTGACTGTAGTGAATTGGAATTTACGACAAATGTTGATTTTCTAAAGCCAAATCAAAATGGTGAATAATTCACATTCGTAGGAGCGTTCGATAAACCAAAGAGAAATAATAGCCACCTAACATAAACTAACGATGTGTATATACATATTTATGTCTAAAACTACATCCTCTTCACTTCCAGGAGTGGAAGGTCCACTTGTTCACACCGTTCACACCCACGCACGAATCCCCAAACAGCAAAGCCCCATTCCTGACGCAGTACCCCTACCGCGTGGCGAAGGCAGGAGGCATGCAGAGTCTTCCCCTAATCACGTCGGTGACGTCAGAAGAGGGGCTGTACCCTGCAGCAGGTTATTTAAGAGACATATATAGGGTATTCATTCATAGGCGTTGAATTAATTTAGTCCTGACATCGGAAAGGTCGCTACCAAAATTATTACTAAATAAGATGGTACAATTCACCATCATAATTATTATTATAACATATCAAGTCCACTACTAAACATATGGGCTTTTCAAAAGATCGCCAAATCTGAGAAACATTTGTGTATTCAAGTGTTATTCATTATTTTAATTTATTTGACAATTACTATTACTTAGAGTTATTATTATCATGAGAAGCTACAGAAACAAATTGGATTGACGACTCATCGCTACAGCACATTCTCCCATTGCGATAATCGAAAATTAATAAAAAAAAGTAATTGACGAATGACAGCGCACATCTTCATCCAGTCGCACTAAAATAAATAGGAAATACCTAAATAATGTACGCTACTTCTTTGGCACAAACCTTCAGTTAGTGTTACTATAACCAAATGCAACAGCATGCATCACTTGACTTCTTAGATGATAAAAAATGCAACCCAACTTCAACTACTCATTTATATTTAAGAGAGGCGCATATATCTCATGCGTTACAACGGACAAACGTCATCCGTCATCATTTCATCATCTCACCCTGTTTGAGTCTACTGTTGAACATAGGCCTGCATAGACTGCCACTAAGCACGATCCTGAGCCACCTGCATCCATCGACTTCCCGCACATTTGCACAGGTGTCAATCCATCTAGAGGAGGTCATCACTGCGATGGCCAGTACGAGGCTGCCACTCAAGAAAATTTCTTCCCAGAAAAGAACAGACTTCATTACTTTTTTTATTTATAATATTCACAGATGTTTATTTCGCACTGTATATATATTATTTTGTATATATTATAGAATATAAAATTATTTAAATTAATTATTAAAGAAAAATCTTATTGGAGAAAAAACTAAAATACAAATTGCGAAAGTCTTCAGCCGATAATTAAACAAAAATTAACTGCCGTCTAGTCTAGTAACAGCCAAGTGGGGGCAGGCGAATGTACTATATGTATTTGTATAACATTTTTACCAGAGTCAAGTCTTTTATCATCCCCAGGTGTGAGCCATGCCGATGACATACTACTAATCTACAATTTCATGGGGAGCTCGGAAGCTCCAGCTGACGTTCAGATGCGTCAAATTCTGATGGATATGCTCTACAGCTACGCTTCTACAGGGTAGGGACTGTTAATTTGCCTCAATATCCTAAATAAGGTAGTTTGAATGTGGCTCCATAAATCCAAATAAAAGTATAAACTCCACAGTTGCCGTTAGGTATTGGCTTCGGCGTCGGGGGTCGTGGGTTCGATTCTCACACGGGACAACTATTTGTGCGACCCACAGATAGTTGTTTCGCATCTGGGTGTTTATTCTCGTGCAATTTATGTTTGTAAAACGTCCTTACAACACAGGATAATGTTATCCTAAAGTGAGGGCAATGCTTTTTAAAAAGAAAAAAAATTAGAGAGAGAATTATTCAACCAAGACGAGGTCAAAGACATATTTTCGCTAAAGATATATAATGACAACGCGTTATAAATACTTATTTCGTTCCGGGACCCAGCCTAGAACCTTTTTCACGGAGAAAAATATACATCCGCAGTGCTGACAGATTTTTATTCGAGATTAGAAACACACCCTAACAATCCGACATATACAATGAAGGTTTATTTATTTATTTATGTATTTATTGTACACAAAACACACGATACAAAAAAAATGTTTAAATAGGTAGGCTACAGTCTATCAGACCATGAATTGGAATTCCACAATAGATAGAAACAAATTTTCTATACAAAATACCTTTGCCGTATGTTACAAAATGTCCGTGTGAAATTTAATTAATATTTCTATGTGGTTTTTATATAAACATATATAAACCACATAGAAATACATTTAATATTGGGTAATGTCATGGGTAATTTTAAAGCGTTTTGCTTTTTTGAGATAATCAATTTTGTTTTTTGAGATAATCAATTGACGATATTTCTTTTAGCGCTCCAAAAGTAGCCGGCGTGGAGTGGCAACCAGTTGAACCCGGGTCTACAGAACTGCGCTACCTGGAGTTCGCCTCACCCACCGACGTGTCAATGAAAACTAGCACCGATTTCGGAAACAGATCATTCTGGGACTCACTGGGTTTTGTCGAGAACGAAAACTACAATGTGTACATAAAAGATGAGCTGTAAAGAATTTACATATTTTCCGTCACTGAATACTTTAATAATGTTACCTATTGTATTATTAATATTAATATATACCTACGTTATATGTTTAAACATGAATCATTAAAGTTTATTATATTTTTCTACTGTCTTCTTATATTTTCTTAACTACCTCATAAACTTTAAACTTATTTATTATGCCTATGTACATCGACATTTATAGACCAATTATTAGAACTATTATGTACAACCAACAAAATAGGTACCTATGTTTAGAAGAATCTATAATATTTTATACAGTTGGGTATAAACTATGTATAGTTATATATTTATACTATACTTTTATATCTATATACCTCATACCAACCTATTATATACTTACTTGAATAGAATGTATATTACAAATTATTTATTTATACCTATATAAAAATTATTTAAACAGTCTTAATATAATAAATCATAATAAAATAATAAATCAACTTATATGATTAATATTTATTTATTACGTCAAATTTTCGAAATAATAAAAAAAATCAATCATATGTGAAGTCCGTCAATCCGCAGTAAGGTCGTGGTGGACTATGCCCTGATACCATCTTTACAGAGGAGACCTTTGCCCAGCAGTGGGAAATTTATAGGCTGTCTTTCTTTTATTAGTTCCTCCCGGATATGTAGTCAAAAATGACGCAATATTTACTCACAAAAGTAAATACAGTCTAAATAGAACGTATATTTCAATATTTCAAATATTTAACCTTACGAACCCCGCCTTATTGTTGCGGCTGTTGACAAGAGAACCGACGGGTCTTTTTTTTGCTCAAAGGATAAATATAACGAGGTAACGACTCAGCCAGCGTTCTTGGCATAATGCCAAGTGAAATGTTGTTGGAAATGTTTGCAAGCTAATTATTATTTGTAGGTTGCGTAAATAAAAGTTATCAACGACAACAAAGCAATGAATGGATGACTTCACCATGGTATTGGCTTGGGCGTCGGGGGTCGTGGGTTCGATCCCCACACGGGATAACTATTTGTATAACCCACAGACAGTTGTTTCGTATCTGGGTGTTTGTCCGCGTGAAAGATATATTTGTAAAACGTCCTTACAACACAGGATGTTATCCTAAAGTACCACTCCTGCCTTACGGAACTATAAATTGATTCCCACAGACATATGTAATGCAAGACGCATTCAATGTCTACTTTTTATGTAAGAATGTTTCAAGCGAGCTGGCGGTTCACCTGATGTTAAGTAATAACTGCATGGACATCTGCAACACACGTACGTTAGCAGATGCGTTGGCACCTTTTAATAACGTGGGGTGTTTATCTCACTCGCACAAAGAAACTAAGAAGTACAACACTATCACTTCACATGGATCCTCCACTAATGCAACAGCGTACTGTTGCGTTGCCCAACCAATTTTCCGTGTTAAGCAGGGCCGGATTTAGGGGAGGGCAACTGGGACTACAGCTCCGGGGCCTCCACAAGACGGGTCCTTGTCGATTTTCGACTTTTACTTTCATATTTATACTTGATTTCACAATTTTTTTGGATTACTCCTTTCTTGCTCCAAGGCCTCCAGACCTCTAAATCTGGCCCTGTTGCTAAGGATTATTATGTGCAAGTCTTTAATATTTGTCCAACAACAGGCTTTAGCCAGAATCACTATGGCTATTGTATATATTGCGGTCTGGGTTTATGTTTGGCGAAAACTGGAAAACTGTCTGTTTAATTAAGGTTTTGCGTCTAGGTATACATATATCTAAAATGTGTTTTATATTGTCAGTCATTTATCAAAACTTCAAATTAAATATTATGTATATATGACAACTCGAATAGCGTAGTGCGTAGTGTACCAGTCCAGAGGGTGTGGGTTCAATCCGCACTATTGGAAAAATATTGTGTGATGAACATAGTGCTTTTCTATTGTCCGAGTGTTTATATATGTATTTATTTGAAAAAGGGGAGGATGTTTAAGTATGTTTATCAGTGTCTAGTACCCATAGTACAAGCAATGCCAGAATAGAACAAGAAGATTAGAGAAATGTATAAAATGTGTCATAAAATATATATTTTTACTTTATATTTATTATGGTCTTGTTCATGGTAAATAGAAAAGTCATCGTAAGTGAGCCCAAAGCAATGACAATCAGCATGTGAAATCAGTAACTTTTGTATATAAACATTACTTATAAACACCAATTTTTAATGAAAATGAATGAAAAAGACAAAAGCTAATGATACCAACAAATATCTTTTGGAACTTGTTGAATGCTTATGGACATTATAATTTTCTTCTAATTCAATTTTTTGTTTCAGATATCAATAATAAATCCTGACAATAAACAATACACACTTCAACCCTCCATGACAATTAATATTAGTGAAAAAGTAAAAGGATTTAAGGACAACATTGTACAAAATTACATTGGCAGATGAAAAAAACTTTTCAAAAAAACATAATGGCAATAAGAAATAAAAATAATAATTGTAATGGAAAATACAAATTTATTTTACAATAAACATTTCTCCTTTAAATCCCACCTTGCCCATTACACTTTAATAGAATAAAATCACAAAAGCTAAACATTAAATATGTGAAAATATTAATTTTTCAAAAGTTTATTTTTGCTTTTACATGATTATGTATTCAAGCAAAGCCATATACTTCCAAGTCCAATACATAAAGGATAAAATGCTCAAACAGGTGTAAATAGACTAGGTAATACAAGGAAAATTTCAAACTACCTACTAAATAGAAAGTTTTAAATATTAAAATACCTTCTGTTTCATCTATTGAATTACCTACAAGTTAACATAAAATTTTTGGTTATAAGAAAATAGGTAATTGTTCAGCAGTTTAGAAATCGATATTGCATTTAAAAAATCTATCCATAGAGAAAAATCAATTTTGAAATAAATAATAAGCCAAATTAAGAAAAAACTAGTTAAATCTTATATTTACTAAGGAAATCTGCTATATTGACTTCAAAACATAAATACACAGTTTTTAAGTATTGAACAGGCAATGAAAATATTTCAATACAGTCAATACGCTATTATTGATTTCCAAAATCAATAACAAATTTTAAGAAATCTTTCAGTTTAGAAATTTTGATTTATTTATGTTTTTTTACTTAGATTAAGTTAAATTTTTGCTTCAAATTGATTGGATAGATTCAAGGTACACATTTTAATATATTATCAAGAAGCCTCAATAAATAACTAAAGATTTATGATTTAAAATGTAAAATTTTATAAAAACGTAAACTATTTTAAATTTTATTTTTAAATTATGTCTTTAACTTTAATAAAAAGTGAAAGATATTCCACCAAAATCTTGTGCAGATGCTTCCCTTCAACTATAAAGGTTTTTTGTTTAAAACATCAACATTACTGCAATATAAATGCTTAACTATTTAACCTTTGAAACAAAGAACTTGAAAAATTCCAGAAGAAATTCTTGTTATAGGATAATGACATATATTGTCAAATCTTTTTCACTAACTCTAAACACACTCAAATAAAAAAGTTCAGACTAAAACATTCAAAACAATACATATTTTCAGCCTTTAAATAAGATAAACAAACTACAATAAGCAGTATGATAAAAGCACAACATATACTATTACAACATCACTTTTTGTTTGTTTCATATTGGGTTTATAGTTTTAATGGTTTTAATATTATAAGTTTATGAACCTTAAGTTTATGAAGACTTATTAGAATTTGCAATGAAGAGATTAAATTACAAAGAGTACAATATTGTTCTTTTTAACATAAAATGAAACCATTAAACCTTAACCAACCATTAATCATAATTTAGTCATCTTTCTTATCACCACTAGCAATTGTAATTTTCTTCTGAAGTACACTATGCTCTTCGGCAAGCCTATCATATTCTTTGTTAAGGCTTTCAGCCTGAGATTTAACAGCCTCTTTGTCTTTCTTCTCCCTAGCCAATTCTTTTTCTAGCTGGATTATCTGAGACTTTAGTTCTTCAAGCTCCATCTTATTCTTCTCGTCACCAGATCCCTGTTGCTCCAAAAGCGACTTAGCAGCAACGGTGGCGCTTTGCGCTTGACGGAAATTAGCTTCTGATGTTGCAAGAACGGTGGCAAGTTCAGAAATCAATTGCACAAGGCGACGGATTACAATAAGAAGGAACAGCGCAAATCCGGAGATATAGAAATTCCTCTGCGCTCGGAACAAACGCATATTACCTTGCATTTCAGCATCCAGGTGTTGATGATCAGACGATTCCAAATTCGAATATTTCTGCATCTCCCGAATGGCATCGAGCAAGCATAATATTAAAACGCCTATCAGCACGAGGAAATATATCGAAGCCTGTCCACTTATGTAGGCCAGAAACTTTGATTTGAAAAACTTCTGCCATTTCGAAGGACTTGCAATCGGCAACGTTAAAAGTAGCACAAACGCAATTTCTGCGTATAGAAACGTAGCAATTATGGTCCACTGTAGACTCATGTTGAATATGGGTAAATTACCCCTTTCAACGTGTTCCTAATCGAAGCAGCAAAAACTTAATGACGAGAGTTTATTTTATAGTTGTGAAACTACCGACTCGAAAATATCCGTGACTCAGTTAAGTACAAAGTCAAAAATGACGTATGACGTGTTCCTATCAAAATAGAGTAACTTATACCTTACTGATACTCGATGGTCTAAATTTAAAAATACAAATTCCTGTGCTTTATTAAAAATCTTCACATTTATTGCGATTTGTAAAATATGGACTTGACTTATTAAACTATAATTAACTAGGTACTTAATATAATAAAAGTAAACAAAATAGGTTGGTGATACATTTAACGCAATTCATAATCAAAGAGTACTTTTATATATACCCGAAATGATACTTAAATAAACCTAATCGTAATTCAAGTATGAATCATAGTGGCTATATTAAAATATACACAGTGTGTAACAGTTGTAGCAAACGCGTATGATATTGCGATTCGTGTCGGTATAGCGAGCGAGCACGGTACATCAGATTTCGGAAATATCAGATATTATAAAATACATAGCTAGTGAACGAGCCAGTAAGCGATATTCAGATATTGTACTAATATCTAGTTTTCATATCTGATACGATTTGTATCGCCCACTTCTAGTAACAGCAGGCTCAACGGATTTGTGGGGCTCGAGGACCTCAATTCCTATCGATTAGGCCCAACGGTTAGGCGTTTCCTAATCAATCTAATAATGTATTTGATTTTTACTTATATTTCGTGAAAATCTGATTTTACCCTGAATTTTCCCTATGCATCTAAAATATTTAGGTATAAGTAGACCATTAATTATTTTGTATCGTAAACTTTTGTACCAACTATGCCTTTTTTTAATAGTTAAGTTTTAGTTTCTTAAAGTTAAAATAAAATTACTTTCTCCGAATTTCACATTGAATTTCCTATAACATTAGAGAAGTTGTACTTCGTTTTTCGATGCGCACGTACAACAACAAGGTTGCAAAGCGACCAACGGTATTATCATAGCCCTATGCCAGCAATATTAATTTGACATATACCAATAATTTCAAGTTATTTAACCGTTACCAATTGCATTTAATGTCTTAGTAATTTAGGTACCGTACAAAACTACCGTAAAAAGAAAGGAACAGATATATTATACACTATACAGGAACAGATATTTCAGATATACAAAAGTACTCTTTGGAAAGGAACGCTTCTGGTCTGTCGACTGTCACTGTCACCAAATCATCTTTATTGAGGAATATAAATCTGTCTGTGGTAATTTACACAAGTTTTCTGGCGAAATAAGAATTGTAAACAGCAATAATTCCATCGGAATATGGCAGATCCAAAGTATGAAAATCTCCCAGGCATAGTAAGTACGGTCAAATGACGTTAATTAATCTGCCATTAATCGATTTTGTTATTTAACGATGACTAATTTTCATAAAGGCATACGACCAGCCAGATGTATATGAAACCGGAGACCTTCCTGAAGCCGACCAACCAGAGCCGTATGAAGAGGACGAAAATGAAAGTATTGAACAACTGCACTTGTCTGTGAAAGATTCCTTTAACAAATTCAAAGGGAAATTCTTGACTGGCAATGTTGATTTCTCTGATAGGTTGAGCAGGAAAACACGCATTGGTTACAGGTATTTTTTTGTAACATTTTTTCAAAATTATTTCATTTTGAGTTGTCGTTATTTGTCCTGATAAAAAAACCTCATTGGAACTCTTTCTCCAAACATAAGGTAAATTTTATTATATATATTCAGATTGATACTAAATATGGTAAATGATGAAAAAATATAATTCAATGCTTATCAGTATATTTATGTTACTTTTGGCTTTGCATTAGTATAAACAGTTTATTTTACTTAAGGTAAGTAATAAGTCATTGAGGTAAATAATAGTAGAATCATTTTGTAGACTACATGCAAGCTAAAGAAGTAAAAACTCATTGGTGACACTACTTTTATCTTTAAGCAAAGTAAGATTAAGTCTGGGTTCCAGACATTGCTGGATTTGATATCATTTTTTTTAACATTCCTTTTTTAAAAAAAGGAATGTTAAAAAAAATGATAGTGGTGATACAAAAAAAAAATAGAAAAAATTACTGTTATGTTCCATTCCCTAATTCATTATGAATGATGTTTGTTTATGTTTTATTCTGTCTCAATATATGTTTTATTCTGTAAAAGATATTTGTCTATAAATGCTATTTTAAAGCAGATATACAAATTGTTTTATGAGTAAAATACAGTTATTTTACAGTTACAGTTAACTGCAATATTCCTAGACAACAATACATTCATAACTTATAAGGGTTCATAGAAATGTTTATAATATCTTATTAACCTGGCATGAGTTAAAATTGTAATTCTTGTTTGTTTTCTAATGACATTTTTACTCCACAGAGCTGGTGAATGGGAGTTGGCAGCAGAAGGTGAACCAGAGACAATCTTGGAAAGATACAATAGACTCCGCTGTGAGTTTTCAGAATTATTGGAAGAAGTTACAGAGCAGCGGGATAAAGCAACTGAAAGTGAAAAGGTAAAGTAAAATAAATAAAAAGAAATTTATCTTCAATTAGCATAATGAACCAAATAGATACTTTATCCAATCAAGATGATGTTGATCAAGAATACTTTTGAATTTTTATATTAAATGGAAGGTAAGGCTTTAAAGCCCTCTTCTACTACAAAGAATATGCAGAATTATCTACCCTTAGTTTTGATTTTCCACATCAATTAATCCACAACTTGTGCTCTAGCCTTCCACAGCATTACAAAAGTTATTGTGAGTGCCCTTACAATCACTACCAACCATTTTGTTGCTAAGACATTGAAACTTCTTTAGGATGAACACATCAAATTGGCAGCCCAAATTAATTCAACTAAGAAGCTGCTTGAAGAGTTGAAGTTGGAAGAAGGTGAACAGATCGACCCTAAGGCTGAAAAACTACGGTGAGTCAGTTAAAAATGCTTTAACTCAGGTTAAGGGTATGTCAAGCTCCTATGAATGTCAAAAACAAGTTCATGGATCTAGTCTAGATATTTTAATTTCATGTAGGTATCATAAGTTTATGCAGTTGTGAAAGTTAACTATAACCTATAAATAATTTACATTTTAACTTAAGAATCCTTTTGATTAGTATTCCGATAAAAATTTCGTTTTTATTTGACAGTGAATATCTTGCAACTAATGGCAAAAAGAAACAGGGAGAATTAGTAACAGCACATCTGAAGTTGAAGCCTGAAGTGAATTTGGCGCAGACTACAAGGATAGCGCAGCTGGAACACAGGTATTGAAATTATATCACAGATCACAAGGATGCCCCATGGCTATCACTGTCTTTAAACAATCATTTTATTTCAATTAACTTCTTTCATATATCCCACACCTATGATTATACTCTATTCACATTTAGATTACATAAGTTGGAACAAGCGGCTGGTGTGAGGGATGAAGAAGCTTTCAGGAGGCTTCAGGCTGCAACTGGAGAGGTAACTAATTAAATTTTACACATATTTAACAAATATAGTAACAAATAAGTTTATAATTATCTCAAATGCTCTCTATAAAATGCACAATAAACACAGTAATCAAATAATATGTAGGAATAGGCAAACATGAATATAAATAATGTATCTATTGTAAATTTGCAACAAATTAAAAATAATTTGTAAATTTCTAAAATTTTTCTATTGACCGCTCACTAACTTATCGCTCCATATAACGCCTGGTCTATCTCATAATGTTTGAGCTGTTAAAATTAAAGGTTACTTGACATGTGGTCTGCACTCTATTGACTGACCTTAAAATAAATTTATATATATAATAATTAATGGGGCTAAGGGAATTTACGCACATGACATGTTATTTTTACTTTAAACCTTAAAGTATGACAGTAGTACACAGAAATATATGTATAGTATAATATGAAGCAAAATCATATGTAGCCCAGTTATAATGGCACTAGTTAATGTATACGCACAGGTTGCAAGTTAGTTCATGAATAGCTGTTTACATATTGAGTTCTCGGTCTTTGAATGAATGAATGAATATTCTTTATTGCACACACCATGGTAAAAAAGAATACAATAAAAATAACAATTATGTAAGGGTTGTATGCCTTCTTAGAGCGGCCTTATTACTTAAAGCAATTTCTTTCAGGCAACGTTTGGATGGACATAATATGAAAAGAGTATTTTAGGGGTGTTGGTAAAATTCTACAAATTTTATAAGATAAATACATAATTTGTTATATAAAATAAATAAGTTTATAAATACCTAAATATATATATATCTAATATCAAGAGCCGTGATAGCTCAGTGTCCGGGTGCTCGCCTTTAATTCTATATACTCGAGCAACCTGAGTTCAATCCCCGGTGCCGGCACCAATGAAGTTTTTAACTTTAAGTGCTGACTTATCACGTGCTCCGCGGTGAAGGAAAACATCGTGAGGAAACCTGCATATTTTCGAAATAGTAATAAAAAAAAATATATTTCGAAGATATGTGAAGTCCGCCAATCCGCAGTGGGGCCGCGTGGTGGACTATGCCCTGATACCCTCTGTATAGAGGACGCCTTTGCCCAGTGGGACATGTATAGGCTGTTACTTTATATATATATTTGTGTACGGTTTTTGTGCTCTGTAAGTAAAATTGGAGAGGAGGAAGAGTCTGTGTGGAAATTTCATGTTATTGCACTTGAGTGGCTAGCTGAAAAAAATCAAAAAACAATGTACATGCCAATTTATAGAGGGAACGAGACAATATTTAAAGGTTTGCACATTTGTGCCAGGCGACCTTGTGCGGTGCGGCGGCCACCCTGGCGGCCCGTGCGGCCCTTCTGCGGCCCTCGGAGTTGGCGGCAGCAGATGCCCGCCTCGCCTCGCTGCTCACCAACCTGGACGCCCTGCGCGCCGCAGTCAAACCCACCAACCCGGAACTGGAGGCTAAAGTAAGTACTCCAACCAAGAGTTCTAGTGAGTTCGCTCACTCAGAGCTTGAGACAAGGTAAATATCTCGACCAAAAGGTCAGGTAAGTTGACATTATCAAGCCTCGAGACAAAGACAAGTACAGCAACCAAGATTTCAGGTTCTTCTGATGAGACCTCAAGACAAAGCTGGTTAATTACATCAACCAAGGGATCAGGTAACTTAACCTAATCAGACCTCGAGGCGAAGGTAAGTTCATGTAATCAGACATGAAGATAAAGTAAAGTACAGCAATCTGTTGGATGGATTAGTGCACCTAACCAAAGATAAGAGACAGGTAAGTACACAAACCAAGATATCAGGTAAGATCATCTAATCAAGCATCGAGACAAAGATAACTACGGCAAACAGCAGGACAGATAAGTTCGACTATTCATACCTCAAGACAAAGGTAAGTCCATCAACCAAGAAGTCGGGTGAGTTCAACTACTCAGAGCTTGAGACAAAGATAAGGTATACAAACCACGAGGTCAGGTATATTCACCAAATCAGACCTAAAGGCAAGGGTAAGTACACCAACCAAGATGTCAGATAAGTCCTACTGACCAGAACTTGAGACAACTCTTAACTACAGCAACTATCAGAATCAAGTAAGTTCACCTAAACAGAGCTTAAGACAAAGTTGTTAAACTTACACCAACTTATACTATGAGTTCTCCTAATTGGAACACAAAATAAAGATAATTACACAAGTAGTAACAATTAAAAGATCAGGTAAATCCACCAATTCTGTTTGAGAAAAAATTTCACCAAACAATTTCTGTTTTATAATAAGAATATCTATGTTTCCGTTGTTACGACTATGCGGTTTCTATGATATTATTTGTGCTGAGTACACTCCATTTTAGTTCCTAAATTATTTTGGTGAAACAACTTAATTTTAATAAAATTTGAAAATCTCCCTATAGTTTTTATCATCAAACTTTTGATGTAAAAAAAAGAGTAAAAAAATGCCATTTGTAATTATATCAGGTGAATGAACTACACAAGCTACTGAAGCAGATCGACGGCATGTCGCACTCCGAGATCCTGGAGCGAATGGAGGCACTGGAAGCCCTACATAATCAAGGTTCTTCATGATTCTCTTAACTTACTATTTGAATTTCTTTTTCGTGAAATATTGGCAACCAGCACCTGAAGTGTTTACCGCCGTCCATTAACATCTACAGCGTGTCTTTACAATCGTGACAATAAATAAACACGCATATAGGGGATAACTTTTTAAAATTGTATTAAACATTTACATTATTTAAACATCAATATTTACAGAGTTATTAAATTTTCCAAAGAATATTAGAACCTTACGTATAAAACTGTAACGTAAAGTTCATTTGTAAAGGTCACAAAGCATATGAATGGGTTGAATTAATTTAAAAGAGACAAAACATACTGTTAGAAGGAGAGGTTTGTAATGCGACGCTGTGGCGCGAGTTGTAAAGGTGTTACAAATTTTGTTTCTTTTTTACTTAATTAGTTTGTTTGAAAAATATTTTTTTTAATTATGGATTTTGTTAAACGTTAATATTTTTTTATGATTATTGGCAAGTAGCGTTAGACGTCTGTTCATTTATTGTCGCGATGGTAACGACACGCTGTATAATAACACCAGATGGGATGCAGATGCATTGCCAACTTTTAAATACAATGTACTCTCGTTACCTCACTCTCCAGATGACAGATTAAACGCAAAAGTATAATACTCTTACATCACCCTTCTTCTGTTAGGCTGTGGTTCTTCTCCAGGTGAACCTATCCATTCGAGCAAAAGCAGAAGCTATCACAACTGAGTAGAGATGATCAAGTTTTAAACATATTTAACAAGGTTATTTCATATGGGAAACAATGGACACTATGTAAAGTATCTAAATTAAGATCTCTTTTTTTTTTTTTTTTACTTGTATTATCATAATATACATGTGCATATATACTGTAAACTGACTGACTATTAATCTTAATACAAGTAAAAAGAAAAATGAATAATGTACCTTCGAACATCAGACTATTTATAAGTTAAAAAATCAGTGTCTATTTTGTGCCAGGTGCACCGCAATTGACTAATCTCACATCAAGTTTGGAACCATGTATAGCATTAACTACTGTTTTACTATAGGTGTTTGCATTTGTTTTATTATAAATTGAATAGAAAACGATGAAAATCCATATCATTTCACTCACCAATCCATTCATTATACCAGCAAGCAACTTCGGCCAGTCTCTCACGGAGTTGGAGACTCTGCAGAGCACAGTGGCCAGCGGAGTCCAGAACAACAAAGAGCTTCTACAAGGTGTACAGGAGGTGTTTGCTCACAATGTGGACAGCCTTCAGAAGGAGATCAAGAAGTTGGACGAGCGAATTACTAAACTCAATGCGGCGTGATGATACGTCCAAATCTAGATGCATTGTGCTTAACATATAATTTATTCCAGGCATATCTATGACGAGTGTTATTCATTATTTTGTTAGATCATTGATATTAAAAAGTTAATTTCAAAAAACATTCTGCAGCTTCAAATATGAGACCAATTGAATAAAATTTTCTGTAACACCGCTTAGAAGTAAAGGTTAATTCAGTGCTTGTGGATAATGGAACTGTGATAATGTAGCATCTCGCATACTCAAGTCCTCATAAAAATAGCTAACCATAGTGGGGCGAACTTAAACTCACAAGCTTATCATAGTATAAAATGATTATTTATATCTTAAAATATGTTAAAAATTGAGCATGGATTTTTAGGAGCAAAAATTAATAACAAATATATGGTTGTACCTATGGATTTCTTTCATTTTTAATGGTTATTTTTGAAACTTTTGTTAAAAAATGTGTTTGAGCTCGCCTTGGATTATTTTCACTACCGATTGGTAAATAAATATCATAATTTAGTATATGTTAAACCTATTATAATTATATCCATAACATTTAATTATAACTCCAAAATATAAAACAAAAAATACTCAAATATAAAAGAAGCCTGAAAGTTTAAATTGAATTTAATTGTTTAAATTTTAGATTTCAAAGTTTTGTGTTAAGTTTACTACTGTACAATTATATTTGCTAAAGCTCTGCATATTAATATTATATCAATAATAGAAAAGTTATTATCAAAGTTGGTTTTGTCAATATTTTTAATTTGTTTTGTTTATAAGTGATGTTTCTTTTCTTATACTCCTTTTGTCATTACACTAACATAAGCACCCTAAGTCATACTCTGCAAGTATGACTTAAGCACACTAAAGCACAACATAAAGTACACTAAATTATATTAACTTGAACTGTTTTTAAAAGTACATAAATTGCAATTTATGTTAATCAATCTGTCAATTATATAACAGTCTTCAATATTACTTTTATTTAAACATAGTACCTGGAGTACCGAGCTTTGCTCGGTTTGTTTTTTTTTTTAAATCGTGTATTTTGGAAATTACATTTAACTACAAATTACTGAGTAATGAAATATGCATAATATTTTTCGATCTTACCGACCTATTAATAAGAAAATATGAAGTGGTGTTTTTCACAAAAGAAACAACTTTAAAAAAAGGAAAAAAAAAACAAAATTCTCTGGATCAAAAAAAAAAAGTGTGTGTAAATGATCGTGACACGAACCACGGCCGTCTGTTTTGGGGCCGCCCGATTACCGACCGAGCTATTATGACATTTTCTCTCGCGGCGAAATTTACCGTCATATTCGAATGATATTTTTTCATTCCGTGAAAACAGGGATAAAAGGACATTTTCTAAAAATGAAACCTAGGTAGATCGATTTTTCGCCCCCGAATCTACGCACATACTAAATTTCATGAAAATTGTTGGAGCCGTTTCCGAGATTCCGATTATATATATATATATATATACAAGAATTGCTCATTTAACAGATAAGATAGGAAAACGATTTGTTATATAGCATTCCAACACTTCAATATTATCAATATTCCATGTATATTATCTTAGAGTAACAAAATAAAGAATATGACTGAATTATTTTTATTCAATTGAAATCTCTAATTCTTACACAATATGTTTATTTAACACTAAACTTATTGCCTGTTTCCCTAAGAACCATAAATATTTACCCCATACATGCAAACATGTGTTTTAAAGGGCTTAAATACTGAACCCACATTTATATTTAAATACCAAATGTTTATACAAAAACAGACATTCGTCCAACATGAGTACTAACTACTTCAATAAAAGATTTTTGAAGTGTGGCTACTATGTACAGAAAACATGCTCATTTATGGTTTTCTCTCCATGTGTAATACAGGCAATTGTTAAAATTTATCAACACAAGCAATTGGACCATTGGTTATCATCATCACCCTCCTGCCCTTATCCCATCTAGGTGGGGTCAGCACATGTACGAACGGCCGCCTACCTAACGTCATCCCTCCTTGGGAAACAAACACCCAGAGAAATACTTGTAACATGTGGGAATCAAACCCACAACCCTGGACATCGAAGTCAATAGCTTAGCAATGGCTCCATCGAGTCATCGGACCATTGATTATCAAATATATCAAAAATAAAACTAAATTTTGCATTACAGAAGTAATGTATTTTTTATGTTAAATTTACACCTTAGAACCTAAGCTTTTGGAAGAACCATTTGTTCTTTCCGCTCTTGTATCTCTCCTCGAAACGCACACGGGTGTTGAAACGGAGCTTCTTGCGTTTTGCAGGGTCTTTAAGGTCCTTGGCGCTTAACTTTTCAAAGCTGAAGTCAACTGAATACCGAGTAGGCATCAAGTGATTGTAGTTGACAACCTGAAAAGAAATTATTAACCACAAAATGAATATTGAAATTGTCAATCTGATATTTAGAACGAAAATAAAAGTTCTTTTATGCAGATGAAAAAGCAAATTGTTAGGAAAACATTTTTTTTTTCCTTTAAAAAATTCTATTATTTTTCACAAAATTGAATAATAGCCAACAAAAAAAGTAAAGTAACAGCCTAAAATGTCCCACTTCTGGGTTAAGGCCTCTTCTGGACAGAGGTTATCTGCGGATTTCACATATCTTCGAATTTGCTGAATTATCACTAACACAATTCAACACTTAAAATTAACAATTTCATTGAGGCACACACCAGGGTTAAAAACTCAGGTTGCTCGAGTCTATGAAATTTAAAGCAAGTGTCCAGGCAATGAGCAACCATGGCTTATCATACTAATAATAGCTAATACACTATTAATGCGAAATTTACTAGTCAAATACTATATGGAGACAGAAAACAGTATATTCACTATTAAAACTTTCTTATATTAAAAAAAAACTCCAATTTTTTGAAAATCAAAATCAATATTTTATTTTAAATACTAACTTGGTAGTATTTTATACTATTTTATTTTAAATATATTTGGTTTACAATTATTAAATGTATTTATTGGGAATAAAATTCAGGCAAAAGAGTAAAGTAAAATTTTGTATCCAAAGAGCTTGCACAAAATTTAAAGTATGCTATACTAATAAGTATAGCTATTTATTCACACAGACAATTTCCTCCAAACATATCAAGGTTAAAAATTTGTTGTTGGTTTGTGGTTATATAAAAATTATTCTGAAGAAACAAATGATTATAGCAAGTTCATGTGTATTTTAGAAACACTAAAAAATTTATTACTTGCAGCTGTACTGGTTTTTAAAGTTTAAAACCAACATGTATAACATAGGCAATCGAACGAAAATACATTTATGGGGGTTAGATAAGTTGTCGTATCGATTAGAATACAAATTAATTTTAGAAAGAAGGAATATTTGAATAAAAAACAGAAGGTTACGAGTGATATTACTTTAAAATGGTGTTTTCAAGTAAAGTTGCTTACCTTAACAAAAGGCTTTATCTTGGAGCGCTTGTGTATTTTGTTTTTGCCCATCCTCTTGTGAACTTTTCGTGGATATCTGTCAATGCCGGCAACGAAAGCGTGTCCGTATGGCTTCTCAGAAGTGCCTTCATCGTAGGTCTTCACCACGATTGCCTTACGGCCTGCGTACCGGCCACTGAGGACCAGCACCACCTTCCCTGGCTTCATAATCTTACCCATCTTGGATGGATCTGCAAGACACGAGAACTAACCTTCAAATTCAGATGTGTCAAAATATGTACACAATAAAAGTTCCAGGCACTACCTAACGTAAATTTCACTACAAACTTATATTAAAGACTAATTCATGACCTGATAATACAATATATCAGTCACCAATAACACAACAATTATTTACTAAGAAGTTATTTCGAATAGATTAAACAAAATCTATTGCAAACTGCATAAACCATATTACAAATATAACTGCTATTAAAACTTTTGAAAGAAATAATACTCTTTCACTATGATTTCTTTAGATTATTTTGAAAAATTCGTAAAACTCACATTCCCATATACCTGTCGACAATAAAAAGACAGAACAAGAAACAGATAACGAACACCCACAGAACAGATAGAATATAGATTGTATTGTAATCGATTTTAATCAAAATAATCGAAGCGATTATGAGATCGATTTTTACCAATAATAATTATAATAATAACTGGCGTTATCTTCAAACAACTTCACCAATCACATTAATTTAAATAAAATAAAGCCGATGTCTTGTTTTAATCGTTCATGTTATGCATAGTAGTCATTTTATTATCTTATTGCATGTATTGCATTAATCTAATTTCGATTTACGCGAATCGCGCAAGCACACACACACATACTAGTTTCTTTCTGATAAAATAATTAAATTAAAAAAAAAAATATTACTAATAATGGCCGTGATAGCTCATTGTCCGACATCTCGCTTTTAATTCAGTATACTTGAGCAATCTGGGTTCGATTCCCGGTGCAGACAACCAAGAAGTGTTAATTTAAAGTGATGACTTGCTCGAGTGCTCAGCATGAGCAGTGTTTCGCCCAGTCTCAGTGACCTTCATTAGCGTACTTTGATGTAGACAAAGACATGTTAGGTCTAACCACGGAACCGAGAGATAACGCGACTCCGCGCTACGTATAACTACAGTGAGGCAAAGTAAGTAAGCCTCACCGCTTGTACATAAAAGCTTCGCGTAGGCATTTTACATTTAAGCCGTTTGCCCGCTATTACGCCGCATAACGGCCTATATGTTGGTACTGTTTACTTCTAATTAAAAAAAAATAATACACATCATATGTGAAAGTATGTAAACACTAATTTAACTGGTTGATATATATTTTACGACTTACACATAGATCGTACGATGCTTTACTGTCGATATACATTGCGCGGAGTTTAGGTACATTGCGACCCATAAGAGTTAAATAATTTTTTTAATTAATCTATGTTTGAACAGCTACATACATAAACTTATGTTGGAAACATATTTGATTATGATTCATAATTTTATTTTTGGGCTAATATATTGATGATCATCATATCAAATACGATATTTTAGCAACAACCCATACCATTTCAACCATTCAGTAAAACCTTTGTAGTTTAGCGCCGTGAAAAAGTAGCCTATTTTTATTGTTTCTGACTTTGCTAGCACGGAATACAAAAATTCAATACGCTGGGTTATAAAAACTATCGATGTATCGAAACTCATCTCGATATTTTGAGCTATACTCCTTTAGATGCATAGCACAAGGGATGATTTTTTATAATTATTTTTCTTTTGTTACGCTAAAGAAGTATAACTTCTTACGTGTGTACCTACATAAGTACAATTTTTGGCTTATCTTTATCCCTAGCAACCCAAAGAGAATGTAATCGTTGTAGCAGCCAATGATATAATAGCTATACATCATTGTTAATAATTATTTTGTTTGTTAAATTAATTGTTAATAATTATTTATTAATTAATTAAATTAACTTTAATTAATTGTGTGTACCATTACCGATATCACTGATTAAACGAATTAAGTAGTCACGATTTGAAATAAATTCGTAAATTTTTGTATTTAATAAAAATAAATGTTTATTCATTAAATATCGTTATCTGGAAAAAAAATCGTAATACTTTATTTTATCATTATGACATATTTAGTTCCTATCACAATCCGTTCTTTACTGCATATTACTTTTACAAAATAATGGCGATGTTTCACATCTGCCAGGCGTCCCGTGACGAATTTTCCGCTCACAATTTTTATTTTTCATTTTTAAGTGTCCCTCTCTGTATACGAATATGCCAGTTTGTCTTTTGGATGTCACAACAATGTATCAACACATGAAGCAAATGTTGCTGTACCCTATTTATTTTTATTTCTTGCAGAATTCATGAACAAAATACAAATAAAAATTGCTTGATTAATTCAGTTTAATATCAATAAAATAAGAAAATTATTTACACTAATTTTATCAAAATACAAAAATAAAACACTGTCACATACACATATGTAATAACGATTTCTTGAAGAGATACTATAAATATATACACATTGTCTTAGGTAACTATGTAACGCAGCGGGCTAATTTCTGAATCTGTATATTCCTCCAAACACACTTTGAGCTATGGATAATGTGATACTAATGCTACATTTTTAACACTTGGACAACTTACTTTAATGTGAGACTAACTGAATACGAAAATAACACTTTCAATTACAACATCTAATGTTTATTACATAAAGAATCCAATGTGTATCGCTGCATAAAGAACCATTTGCAATATTTATAAAAACCTTCCACGAGTGATGCGCAAAGAAGTTGGCAACAACCAATTACAGTTCAATGTGAATATAATGATGTACATAGCTAAATTAACATGTGTGAATAATTTTGCAAAATATGGAATGAAAAAATATTCGCAATCATAATAAGACATAAACCCTGAAAGTATGTTATATATACATATATAGTAAATAAAATATGATGGTCTGCAATAAAGTAATTCTGTCATGATCGTCTAATTCGTATAGTACGCATAATATGGAAACGCGGTGATAGAAAAGTAGATGAAGAAGTCTTGAAAGGAATGTGTGATAATAATATGTAGACTTATTACGAAACTAAAACAGTTTGTATTGTATCTCAATTACCTTTATCGTCTTATAGGCCGTGGCGGGCTTTTTAACATTAGGACGTATGGACATCTCTTCAATAATCATTTTCGCCGTAAAATAAAACAACAATCTCAGTAAGACATCATTTGCGTAAAACGTAGTCGTATAACATGTCGCTTTATATACTGACCATAAAAATAAAAATAACCCGATGGAAATTAGGGTCGCAATGAAAAAAACAAATGTGGCGCAATCTTCTCATCTTATTTTTCTGGTCAGTGACGTTACAATTATCGGAATTGCCATTTCGGGTTTCCAAAATTGCGCAAATATTAGCCAAATTCTTCAATTTTATATGTCACGCCATTCCTCTTTACATTTACGCCCCATCATTTGCAGCCTCGAGCGGTAATGTCATTTATAGAATAGTAGTAAGCAAACCGCGCTACTGATATGTCTATAGAGGAAAACCGAATGCGTTTACTGGCACCCAAAAATTAATTACACGTGAATAATATAACTTCAATATAAAAACATTAACATCCATAACAATTACTAGTACACAATCTATACAACTCTATTTTAAATAGTTCACTTTATATTGCGGGATATTTACATTCTTAAACTTAACGAATAGAGGAAAAGAAATTTATCTTTTTTATTTTTTTCAAAAAAACATATCGAACGTTTGCGAGAAAGGAAGTGTATTCTGACAAAACATTGTTTAATATATATCTATGCAATTAGCTATTAGAATATAGAAAGTCATATAGATAAAAATCTACACTCGTTAGCATGTATTTACAAGTAGAATTGTTTGATATATTTTATCAAAATACTGTCCTATTAAATTATAGTGTACACAATCTCGGTCGTCCTTATTTTCATTAGACATGCATACTTGCCAGCCGAAATTTTTCATTAAATTTTACAACTAAAAAAAATCCTAAGTACTTTCTCGTGGACCAGTGTACAACGAATTCGGAAAGATGAGATCCTGGGCCAGATTTCTTTTTTTTTTTAAATTATCCGCGAAAGCTATGAAATGTCAGTCGACTCGGCCCTTTTCCGAACCTAAGTTCCTAATACTCTAAGTAATAAATTATCAAAAATACCTTTTACAACCTTTTTAATCTGTACCTATTGTAAAATTAAGGCGAACGTCAGCTTTATGCAAATTAAGTAATTGTTCTTTTTCCTCGTTTTAACTGTCACGTTATGCCAAAAGAAAATTTCCACAAACATGAATATTTACATGTGTTAGTTTTACAAGAGAAATAAGTCATAATATATAACTACTTTATGTCAATTTAATTGTTTAAACAAAAATGGTTAACTTGACTATAATCAATGTAAAATACATGGTCGTTAATTGTTAAATGCTTTATTGGTATTAAGGACACAAATGCCTCTTCGCTAGTGCAAATTTCGCGTAGAAAAGGAGTGGAAGTGATTATTTTTCATGGATATTTTAGGAACCGCAATTCAACACACCCCTAATCTAACCATCGTCTACAGAATATTTGGCACAATTTTCTAAGGCTGTTTCCTCTACCTCTTCATTGAACAAACTCTCTCGAATTTACTAGTCATTGTTGTGCTTACTTTTTCTGATGTTCGGCTTTTTAAAATCATTTAACGATAACATTATTATTATCATCTTTTTTTAGTTATTAGAGAGTGACAAACAAGAAGAAGAAAAATCAGCCAAGCGCGACCCTTAAACCACTGCGTGTGCAGAAATGTTTTTGACTAAAACAAAATTGAGGCAGATTTTACAAACAGTCAACTCCTTCATAGTAGCCCGACGACAGTCTCGTTAACACTAATTTATTTCAACCAACAGCTTCACCAGGACCAACATATAAATATTTATATTACAGATAGTTGAGAATTTGTGTCCATACATTCTTTGTAGTCTGTGGCTGTAAGCATTTTTATGGTCTTATTATAATTTTATTGTAAAATATACATTAAAGTGTTTTCACTTTGTTATTACAATTGTCGAAATACTTATATATTCGCACACAAAAATTATGTCAACGTGCCGAAAGTCGGATTCACAACACTCGGAGGGTGTGGGGGAGGAGGAGGTGGGGGAGGGGGGAGGAGATTATTTACAGAGTCAACAAATCCGCATATTAAACATCAACAAATACAAATATACATACATAATATAAAACTCTCGAATCACCCGCAATCGATGAACACTAACGTGACACGATCGTTTGGCGGGCGTCGCGTTCGAACGGTGCACTCGCGCGGGAATCCCCACCCGTTACCATGGCAACCGGGCCGCTGTGTCAAAGTCCCTCCCGGCGACCCATCCGGTAACCATGACAACGGAGCCACCCGCCCGGCCCGGCCCGGCCGGCGCGCTTCCGGCGTCGCAAGTCGACTAGTGTTGTGCGTTGGCACGCCCGCACGTGCCGCCCGGCGCTCGCCTCACACGGATATCTCGTAGTTGCAGTCGTACACGGAGGCGCGGTCGGGCGGGTCGGCGGGGGGCGCGCGCTCGAGCTGGTCCTGCACCTCGAGGGCGCGCACGAACGAGAGGGGGCGGGCGGGGCGCGCGGGGTGCGGCTGGGGAGGGGGCGCGGCGCGGCGGCGGGCAAGCGGCGACTGCTGCGGGGGCGCGGGCGGGCGCTCCGCCCACGTGTAGCCGCGCTGCGGCGACGCGGCCAGCTCGCGTATGTCGTCCGCCGTCGGCCGGTGCGGGTGGGGGGCGGGCGGCTCGGCGCGCAGCAGCTCGCCCTCGGAGAGGAAGCGCCGCTGCGGCGACGCGGCCCTAGCGCCGAAGTCGGGGCGGCGCGGTTGCGTCGGCGTGCCCGGGTTCGACCTGTGCGGCGGCGCTCACGTCAGGGGTATAAACGCGCGAGCTCGTCAGTGGTAGTGGGTCGGCGCGGGCCGCCGTTATCGTACGGCCTACGGACAGAAGGAGACGGGAGATGCGGGGCGCGGCGTTGCCGTGCCGCTCGGATTGTGCGCGCGCATACGTCGCTGTGGGCCTTGGCGTGACCGTTCTAATACGGACTTCACACTAATACATATATTTGAGTGCGTGTAATTGTCCAGGGCGTTTGAATAGGTCATTTATAAAGTGGCCAAGGCGACAGCGGCGTCTGAGGCGGTTCCGAACGCCATAGGCGACCGCATACAGCGGGGTTCATGCAACGCCACATGCATTTTCTTTACATCTCATTATATGCACTCTATCATACACTACGCTACTGCAAGAACAAAAACTCGTTATCTTGATGAACTTTGTTTTCTTGTTTACATTTAACCGGGCGCACAATCTTGTTAAAAAAATCTATATATACAACTTTATTACTTATTTAGAAAAATAAATACTGATAGCATAATTTTTGTACCCTATACAAAAAATAAAAACTAGACAGGAAATAATTATATAAATACAATAAAGCCTCAAAAATGTCAACTATTAAATTTGCTTAAATTTTGCAGCCTATGTTGATTTTAAACAACTGTGTAAACTAGTTGTTGGGATAAAACAGCATTTTGTTCTGCGTAATTATCGCGACCTATAACTTACTAGCGAACAAACCATTTCTGAAATTTGGTTTGAAAATTTATGCTACAAATACTATCCATAAAATAAATTAGAGATAATTTAAACAAGTGGCAAAAAGGACATCAGTAAAACATTATTTACCAATTATATTGTAAAAGTTAGAACTATGGAGACTTATGTCTAAGCCCTTGTTTCAAATACATAAAATATTTTTTACAAATTAATTAATAAAACAACAAATTGTGCTTTTATGTTTCGCAGTTCATCAAGATAATCTTAATTCATATAATGGTAGTAAGGTAACAATGCCATACAAGCTTTACATTAAATTAGTTATAAAATTGAATGGTTACCGCCAGAATACAGTAAAGTTAAGGCACTGTATATATTTTTATATGTTCACATGTTTTTACTCGATTAAACAATTTATTATGTTACACCAGACCATTATATGTTTGTAGCTTGCAATCATTTCAAAATGTAAGTTCTGCTTGTTTTGGTAAATACAAATATGTTTGATTTGTCATTAGAACACGAAAATCAAATTATATACTTATAAAATGAATAAATGAAATGATAAAAATTAAAAATAACTGGTAGTAAAACCATTTGTTTATTCTAAGACAATATATACCATTCCAAACAGCCCTTATACAAACAAGTGAGTAAATAATTTACTTCATTTTACTACTATAAAGATTTAAACTATTTTTCTTCCAATATTATAGAGACGTTACATGCAAAAATAATCAAAAATGTAAATATAATAATTGCAAAACAACAACAACAAAGATTTAAAAAATGCAAAACTTAAAAAATACTACAAATCAAAAACTATGCTAAGCAATGAAGTTGATTGGAAATCATTATTAAACCATGTTTTTTATTGGTAAGAGGCCCAAAAACTTGATGAACTTTGGTTTCTTGTTTGCATTTACTGGTATATAAATAAAATAAAAATAAGACAAAATCTGGCGTATTTTCTGCAAAGTATACAAAAATAATCAAACATTTACATCTGACACCTTTAGCGATACATTCCTGAAGTGCAGTCACACATGATCTAAATAATCTGCATAGTGATTATAATATATAAATATACATAATTATACAAAACATTGAGTAACGGAATGGCGTTAATTCCACTAATTGGTAGTTTTAATCCCCAAGGAGTGTTATTAATATTTACTTTTTCAAAGTTAATGAGCAAGAAAGTGAGAAGTTATTAGGACTAATAAAGCTTCTTACTATAACTAGTTCACCCATAGGAATGTTTTAGATCCTTATTAAATGAATAATGTCATCATAATTTACATTCTGGGCTTAACTGACTTGGCTGAACACAAACATAAATATCATTGAACTTACGTATCATTTATGATTTTAAAGGTCATTCTTCGTTACTAGCAGGTAACATAAATTTCAAAATGATGGTGTAATTATCAAGTCATCAATTAAGTATCAAGGAAAATATAATGTATATACACAATATGTGTACGGGACACAGTCTGTTAGTTCCTATTTTAAACATTTCGAACTCGTTAAGTTAGAACAAATTACGTTTCAACAAAATAAAACCTTATCCACGATCCGGTTCGAAGGATCATGTTGATTTATATGAGATTAAAACAACGTGAGCCTATTAGAAATAAGAAAATTGATTCTCCTGTGTATTTGACTTGAATTTTACTTATAAAAACATATTCAAATCTAAGATGAAGATATTAGCCAATATCGAGGCAAATTAACGAGATTCCGCTACTCATTAAAAAAGACAACACACATAAAACCATAACATAGACAATAATTTACCGTCGACACGTCGTCTCTATGCGTTAGGTCCACCTGCCGCGTGTGGTAAGCGGTAAACGATTCATTTTATCACTTTCCAGCTTACCAACAAAATTTACGACAAATATAAGTACCTCTCTCATATTGAAACAAAGCTTCATTATTTGTTAATCAGATATTGGTGTGCAATAGGTTGGAGTTTATTTTAATAAAGGACTGCATGAATATTTGAGAGAATATGTGATTTTAATTCTTTAAACAGTAATTTAAAAGATACTCATATTTATGGTAGCTTGCAGTAACACTGCGTCCTTTGTCGGTCTTTTATAAAAATAATAAAATATCATAATAGTATAAACATAAGTTAAAGTAAATACATGAAGGATAAATGTTCTTGCAAAAGAATTAATTAAAAAGTTTGTTAATTAAGAAATGTAAAACAATGTGGTCAGATATCCACTTATCTTAATATTATTGGTAAAGTGTAGAGGAAGAGAATAATTTGAGCATGGTTTGTAAGAAGCATAGAGCATGTAGTGACCATAGACCGACTTTGAATGCAGTGTAAGTATATGTGATTAGCATGTGCGGGTTATTTAATAGACGAGGCGTGTGAACTTTTAAGTTTAAAGTGCGTATCAATAAAATGAAATTATATCAGAAATAAGGGAAATTAATGTTCCAGGTTATAAAAAGAAATAATGAAATTCCGACACCTCTTCTTATTGGTAATGAGTTGTTCAAACTTTATCATCGGAAGTTACCAATGAAACTTTAACTCATATTTTCTAATGTTATAGCAATCCTATTTTAAATGCGTGTATTATAGTACGATAATGTAAATCATAGAAAAGTGTGAACAACCGTTTACCTTTGTCCCTTCCCATAATAACAACTTGATTAGACAATGTTTATTTTTATTATTACTTTTAAATTTCTCAACAAACTGATTCATTGTCTAAATTGTATTATGAGAACGAATATGTTGATTTAGTAAAGCATTGAACGGCAACGACGGCAAAATAAAATTATATACACTCACTGTTAATGTTCCCAAAAAAAAAGTCACCACTAGACATATGATGCAAACCATTTTACATGCAAATTATAACAATAAATCACTAACATTTATCAAATATCAACAGAAACCATAAAAGCGATGCGTTTTTGTGGACAAGGACAGTTATTTTTTCGTATAGATTATAACTTAATGCGGTGGGGAATAGGCCATGGCACAATGTAGAAATCATATATAATATATATATATACAGGGTGGCTTTTCTATGTGTATCCATTTTTTTTAATTAAATTCAAGACATAAATAATGTTATATAAAAATGATAAATATTTAAAATCACTCGTAAGTAATTTGATTACATTGATTTGAACTTATCTCAAACAGTGCGTGATTTATACGCAACTCATTTTATTTTACGCGCGATCATTCATAACTAACACGCACACAAGTTCGTGCACAGTAAAATTTAGGTATTTATGAATGACTACCGCATTGTCAACACGTTCTGTTTTTTAGGGAATAGAATAGCATTTTTTTTTTTGGAAAAAAACTTTGTTTTTTATTTCTATAAACGATTATACTACCGAGTCTGAACCTCCTGTGTTGGGCAATTCTCAAAAAATCTCCCTGTATATACATATGTGGAAAATATTGTTTCTTCTTGGTGTATAGCACAGTATGCCAATAATTTCCATATTTATATATCTAAATCTCAGCCAAAAACAATAAATAAATTATGTAAAGATATATACTGTGGAATGAACAATCAGTATCAAGTTTTGATTGCAATATATCATAATGTTTAAAATGTTTCCGCCTTGAACAGACGCTGAATGTGCTGTCTGACCGAAAGAGCAGGCGGTTCACCTTATGTTAAGTGAATACCGCCGCCCATGGACAAATACAACATCCGATGGCTTTGAGTTTTAGTGGTGTCGCTAGTATTCGGGTATTAGGTGAATTTATTTTTATAAATATAATTCTTCTGTATACAGCGTGTCGTTACCATCGCGACAAGAAATGAACACACATATAGGGGATAACTTTTTAAAGTTGTATTAAACATTTAAAATCTTTAAACATCAATATTTACAGAGTTATTAAATTTTCCAAAACAAAGAATTTTAGAACATCCTTACCTATAAAAGTGTAACGTAAAGTTCATTTGTAAAGGTCACAAAGCATATGAATGGTTGAATGAATTTTAAAAGAGACAAAACATACTGTTAGAAGGAGAGGCTTGTAATGCGACGCTGTGGCGCGAGTTGTATAGGATTTTACAAATTTTGTATCTTTTTTACTTAATTAGTTTGTTTGAAAAATATTTTTTTTTTAATTATGGATTTTGTTTAACGTTAATATTTTTTTATGATTATTGGCAAGTAGCGTTAGACGTGTGTTCATTTATTGTCGCGATGGTAACACGCTGTATACACCGGGTATATCACTGAATTCCACCTAAGCGGCTGGACCGATTTTAATGAATTTTTTTGTTTCAGGTCGATTCGAGAATGATATAGATTATATAATTCGTTTCATTTTTGTTTTTCATTTATACGTTGCTGTTGGGTCCGCTAGTATATTTACATTTCAACACCCAGCGTCCGGTCAAGGGGGATGGTTGGTTGGGGGGTGGTCGGAATATTGCGGGTCCTACCTCCTAACGGGGCTGCTAACCGCCAGGGGGGTGGGCACCCCTAACGCTTTGATGCGTTGCTGCATCGTGGGCGACGGCCGGGCACCGTTCGCCCCCGACTCGTAGCGTAGTGGCTCCATCACCACCCGATAGCCGGACGTCGTGGTGCCGTGGCTGAAATCGACGTGGCTGTGAGATTAATACGCTTACACACACAAAGGTTATTCAGTGGCGCAATTGCCAAGGGTCGTACGTTCGACTCCGGCTCGGGGAAAGTATTAGTTAGAGGCACGGATTCGATATGTATATTCCGTATACAACAGCCAAGTAACCGTTAACAACATGTTGTTCCCACCCTACCTAGGTGGGATAAGGGCGGGCGAAAGAAGAAGCAGATATGTAACGTTTAATTAACAACAAGCATTGCTTAGTTGGGAACTAGAGAAGGTTGTGTTGTGTTTTGACTGTGGTAGGGCCACGCAGCAACCTCGGCTGTTGCACGAATGGGCAGGCTCGACCGGGTAAGTACCACGACCTCACACAAGACACGTGAGTTGGAAGTATAATACTTTCACGTTTCATCTGGTGAGTGAGGGTGGCCGGAGCACAAATTTTCAAAGGGTTGTCAACGCATCTGCAACCCTCGGGTGTAGCAGATGTCCATGGGCGGCGGTACCTATTCACTTAACATCAGGTGAACCGTCTGCTCGCTTGACAACTTTTCACATAAAAATATGAAAAAAAGAATATGTCACATGTACATATTTACTATTTATTTATTAAAAGGTGTCAACGCGTCTGAAACCCTACGGGTGTAGTAAATGCCCATGGGCGATGATCGTCACACAATATCAGGTGAGACTCGCCAGCCTTTTTTTAAGGAAAATGGGGGTGAACGGGCAGGAGGCTCACCAAATGGAAAGTGATCACCATCTCCCATGAACAACTGCAATAACCGGAGGGCTTGCAATCTTCCTACACACAAAAGAACAATTTTTCAAAGAACGATTTTTTTTTTGTATTATCGCTGTTATAGCGGCAACAGAAATACTGTCATCATCGTACATGTCAAAATCATCTGTGAAAATTTCAACGGCCTTACTATTACGGTTCATGAGATACAACAGCCCTGTGACAGACTGTCAGACAGACAGCGGCGTCTTAGTAGCGGGGGGTCCCGTATTACCCTTTGGGTAGGGAACCGTAATGACAGACCGACTGACAGACAGACAGCGGACTCTGCGTATAATAGAAGGAGCCCCCCTCACCCCGTGTTCCTGGGCAGCGGGCTGAGGCGCGGGTAGTGGTGCGGGCGCGGCTGGCGCTCGGGCGGCGGGAACAGGTTGGCGGCCGAGCCGCGGCGCTGCAGCGGCGGCGGCGTCGGCTCGCAGTCGGCGCTCTGCGACGCGCCCGGCCCCTCCAGCTCGCCCTCGTGCTCGTCGCGCCCCGGCGACAGCTTCGCGGCGCCAACGCACGTCACCATTACTCACACGCACGCGGGCGGCGGGCTCGGCGCTCCGCCTCACAATCGTAACCGTGTGGAGTGTTGTGACGACCTCTGTGCGACCTTTACTGGCGCTGACCACTATGGAATGCTAACTCACACGCACGCGGGCGACGGGCTCGGCCTTTCGCCCCACCCTCGTAACCGTGTCGATTGTAGTGATTACCATACTAGTAAGTACTAGAATGCAATGCTATCGCGATTTGCGACGGCCCCCACTATGCGCCAATCGCGCACGTGCGAGGCTGGACCCCACCCTCGTAACCGTGTCGATTGTAGTGATTACGCCCTTTCCTCATAACCATGTGGAGTGCAGTGACGACCTCTGTGCGACCTTTACAAATACTGTCCTCTATTCGTCCTTGGATTACTCACTCGAATGTTCGACGACCGGTTCGCGACCACGCCCAACGCGAGGGCGGAGCTCCGCCCTATCCTCATAACCGTGTGGAGTGTAGTGATGACCTCTGTGCGACCTTTAGACGTGCTAAACTCTATGCAAAACCAACGCGATTAGCGACATGCTCGCGTCGAGTGAGAGGACAGATTTTCACCCTTTTCTCATAACCGTGTAGAGTTTAGAGATGACCTATGTGCAAGCTTCAAAAGTTCTATCCTCTATTCGTTCCCTATTCCTAATTTCCAATACGAAAGAGAACGTAACGTATGTGTATTACAAAAGCGGAGAAGTGAATCCCTTTTTACTTGTAAATGTACTTCACATTAAAAGGATAGTGACAACTACTATGTACCCCGTATGTAATTGACTATAAACTGTGAATCCCCTATTAATTGTGTATATGTGTGTGAAACTGTGTAACTCGAACACTTTCCCGTTCATGATATATACAGCGTGTCGTTACCATCGCGACAATAAATGAACACACGTCTAACGCTACTTGCCAATAATCATAAAAAAATATTAACGTTAAAAAAATCCATAATTAAAAAAAATATTTTTCAAGCAAACTAATTAAGTAAATAAGAAACAAAATTTTTAACATCCTATACAACTCGCGCCACAGCGTCGCATTACAGGCCTCTTCTTCTAACAGTATGTTTTGTCTCTTTTAAATTCATTCAACCCATTCGTATGCTTTGTGACCTTTACAAATGCACTTTACGTTACAGTTTTATACGTATGGTTGTTATAAAACTGTTTGTTTTGGAAAATTTAATAACTCTGTAAATATTGATGTTTAAAAAGTGTAAATATTTAATACAATTTTAAAAACTTATCCTCTATATGTGTGTTCATTTATTGTCGCGATGGTAAAGACACGCTGTATATTTATGTAAAATCATTAAATTATAATTATATATATTCGAATTGTATACCCATACTAAAGATACAAGCTCTTCATGAAGATTTAGAGTGCCTATGCTTTTCGGTTATCGCACGATGTTTGCCAACGCAATAATTCGCCCATTTATCATTACTAGTAAGTCTTAACACTTAAGCAATGATAATGCCCAGAATCAATACAAATACGAAATAAAAAAATTGTGATCACTGCGAAACAATTAGTGTATGATTGCTGAACGTAAATTGTATCAATGTGTCACTTTTCTTTTATGAATACCAGTGATACGAATATTTTAATTACTAAAAACCAAAAAGAATCCCTAATAATCACAAAATACATTATTATTCTACAATTTACTGAGTATAACAAAACATTTTCAAAACAAAATTAAGGTGTAGTTTAGAGTGTAATAGTTTGAGACTAACCAGTAATAATGTAAGCTTAGACTGTCATTGAAACTATTAAGATATCATAGATTTAAATAGTACTTGATTTAAATAAGAAAAAATTAAAACATGCATAGTTTTAATATTTAGAAGCAACTTGAGTTGAAGATACAGAAAAGGGATTGGTTAATTTAGTATAAAAAAGTTGCATAATTACTAATAGAAATATTCTGATAAGGATCTGCATTAAAATCTCTTTGTATCTTAAAGAGAATGCAAATTGACATACGAAATTTTGTATACCCAAATCAGAAAAATTAAAAACCCTTCTATTGGGGTGTCAAACTCGCTTTCAATATTGCTACTTTAAATGTCTGTAATGTGTGTAAGAAGAACACATTGAAGTTTCAAATTTTTCTAGTTAGGCTCTATGTAAAATACTTTGCTCTAAATGGATATACAAACTGGGATAAAGAGAAGTATCGTTAAATTTGGAAATTAATTATAAATAAAAAATTTGGAATCGCCTATTTACAAAGATAGAAGAGTTCATATTTTTGTACCACCACCTTCATTCAATGTGAGTTCAATGCGAGTGATAATGCAAGGATTGTGTGAAAATCAGTCAATCTAGATATATTCTGTGTACATAATAATTTCTTGTATTTACGCGATTACACATTATAAATGAAACTAATTTTACGGATTTATCGCGTTTATTTTTAATTTTAGTTCCCGACGTTTCGAACCCTTACAGCGTTCATGGTCACGGGACAGACTGAGGTGTTAGACGTCTGATTGTCAAAGTTAACCCGGGCTACCGTCAGTTTTTGTATTATTGATTTTGTGTCCGATCTATGCAGAGGGAGCTAATTGTATCTTGTCTTGCAGTAGTGGTTCTTTTGGGCTTAGATTTAATTTTTTTGATGATAGGATTCCAAGCTGATGGTAGTACCCAACCCTCTTCTCTATTGAAATTAGGGTGTTTTTTTTTTTAATTTCAATAGCCTCGCGAATCATCCTCGGGAGGAATCGGTGTTCTTTTGCAAGCATCTGTGGTCTATCAAACCTGATGTAGTGGTTCGGCCGATTTACAGTGTGCTCACAAACTGCAGACTTGTTTAATCTACTATGTTTTATGTCAGCTATATGTTCTTTCACGCGGGTTTTTATAGCTCTTTTCGTTTGTCCTATGTAAGAGAGACCACATTCACAGTCAAGTTTGTACACTCCTGGATCTTGCAGAGGGATATTACACTTGACAGATGGTAAAAACTGACTAATCTTCTTCAGCGGCTTGTAGAATGTATTAATTGAAGCCCGCTTTAAGATATAGCCAATCTTGTCACATTTATAATGTGTAATCGCGTAAATACAAGAAATTATTATGTAAACCAGTACGGACTGGAAGTTGCAAATAAAATTCGCGGTCTGGAAGATCTGAAGACTAAGCGCGCAAGATATGTAACATCTTTAAATTTCTTGAAGAGATGCCGAGACAACAATCTCATTCCTACGTGTGTCAAAATCTCATCGAAGAAGGACATTCGAGGAAGCGCGAAGATCTTAAACCAGGCCAGTATAAAATTGTTACGTAGGGTAATTCGTCAAAATAGATCTGATCTATGTGTCATTAATTCTGCCATAGATAATTCATCCAGTCAGCTTAAAACAATTTTAACGGCATTTGATTACCAAAACTGCATGTATACATTAAATCAGCGCGAAACAACTAAATATAAGCAATGCAAAAATAAACTTATTGAAAAATATCATAAATTAGTCAACAAATCAAATGCCAAACGATCGTCGCAACGCATGAACGAAACGCAACCGTTGACCACAGACACAGATAATAGACATCGCGCGGTCTTTAATCTGCCACAACAAACACTGGATGAATCTACTATGAAGGTGTTATCGAAAGGTTTAAATTTCGCAATAACGCCGCGAAAAATCCCGTACGAAGAAATAATCTGTAGTGTCGAAGACTGTCTATATAAAAATAATATCGGCAAGGAAGATTTAGAAGGTATACGACAAGATATTTCGTCTTTATTACGTCGAAGTTCGGTACCGAAGTCTAACCTCCCCAAAGATTTATCGCGTTAAACAGCTTACGCAACAACAAAGATTTAACTGTTCTCCGCGCAGATAAAGGAAATGCTACGGTGGTTATGAAAACGTCGGATTATAATTTGAAAATACAAGAACTGTTGTCGGATGTAAGCACGTATAAAAAGGTCCAAAACAGACCCAACCACTAAAACGCTTAAATTAACTAGTGATCTCATTAAAAAATACTCCGAAAAATTAAATCTAGACGTGAAATCGATGATACCTTCATGTGCTAAACCCCCTAAATTGTATGGGTTGCCTAAAATACACAAACCAGACTTGCCATTACGCCCTATTGTAAGCCAGATCGACTCACCAACTTACAGACTGGCTCAACATCTAGTACAAATTCTCTCACCGCTGAGAGGACACACACGGGCATACACAAAGGATTCTTACCATTTTGTTAGTGAGATAAAACAACTATGTCTTGCTGACAATGAAACAATGGTCAGTTTTGATGTACAGTCTTTATTTACATGCCTACCATTAGAAGACTGCATCTCAATTGTAACAAGGAAGCTAAAAGAGAATAACATGCCGGAAGAGTATGCATTACTACTTAAACATTGCCTAACATCTGGCTATTTTCTTTGGAAGGAGGAATTTTACATACAGATAGATGGTGTAGCAATGGGCTGCCCAGTATCTCCCATTGTCGCTGACATATTTATGGAAGACTTTGAGGAGAAGGCCCTTCGCACAGCTCCCATTTATCCAAGGTTTTATAAGAGGTATGTAGATGACACCTTCACCATTTTACCAACAAGTAAAGTTAATGCATTTTTAAATCACCTTAACTCAGTAAATTCCAAAATACAATTCACTATGGAATTAGAGAATAATAACTCTTTAGCTTTCTTAGATGTTTTGGTCATCCGCAATCCAAATAACACTAAGTCACACTGTGTATAGGAAGGCAACCCATACAAATAGATACCTAAACGGTGACTCTCACCACCATCCATCCCAGTTAGCTACCGTGGGTAAATCTTTGTTTCAGAGAGCACAAGGGATCTGTGACAAAAAACACCTGGCCGCTGAGCTTCAACATGGCAAGCAAGTTCTGCATGACAACAAACTTCGAGCACCGCGCCTACGTCACAGTGACCGAGTGAAACCAGCCACAGTGGAGCGAGTACCTGCTGTTCTACCATACGTCAGAGGAGTCACCGACAAGATTGGCTATATCTTAAAGCAGGCTTCAATTAATACATTCTACAAGCCGCTGAAGAAGATTAGTCAGTTTTTACCATCTGTCAAGTGTAATATCCCTCTGCAAGATCCAGGAGTGTACAAACTTGACTGTGAATGTGGGCTCTCTTACATAGGACAAACGAAAAGAGCTATAAAAACCCGCGTGAAAGAACATATAGCTGACATAAAACATAGTAGATTAAACAAGTCTGCAGTTTGTGAGCACACTGTAAATCGGCCGAACCACTACATCAGGTTTGATAGACCACAGATGCTTGCAAAAGAACACCGATTCCTCCCGAGGATGATTCGCGAGGCTATTGAAATTAAAAAACACCCTAATTTCAATAGAGAAGAGGGTTGGGTACTACCATCAGCTTGGAATCCTATCATCAAAAAAATTAAATCTAAGCCCAAAAGAACCACTACTGCAAGACAAGATACAATTAGCTCCCTCTGCATAGATCGGACACAAAATCAATAATACAAAAACTGACGGTAGCCCGGGTTAACTTTGACAATCAGACGTCTAACACCTCAGTCTGTCCCGTGACCATGAACGCTGTAAGGGTTCGAAACGTCGGGAACTAAAATTAAAAATAAACGCGATAAATCCGTAAAATTAGTTTCATTTATATTCTCTGTTACAGAAAAATTATAAAATATGTATCCGTGTGTAGAAATTTGAGATTTATGCATGTTTAAGCAGTTAAAGCTAAAAATGAATGTCGTGTAATAAAATATTATTAATTATTATTAATTGTCGTGAAGTTGTTAGTACTTTGTGTCAAATGCCTTGAAACTTTTCTACATAAAACTAGTTATTTATAATCTATATTTAGAACTTTCTTCTGTATGTTTGGATACAAAAGTTTATTTAATAATTGTATTGTTTTACACTAGAAGTAAGATTAGAGAGCCAGACATATGCATGTCTTCAATTCACACAGTTAATAAAGAATCAGTGGCAGGTGCTTGTGCAAAAATATATTTTAATTCTGTGAATTGAAGGTATGTTATTGTTTGCTCTACAAGCATGAGTACTAAATGAGTCCTCTACTGACAAAAGTATATGACTACAAGCAATATTCAAACTAATGAAGCAAGGCCTTCGGTTAGAAATAAATTATGTAATGGAAATGAGGTGAAGATGTCCTAATAGAATTTTGTAATTATTTTTACTAAGATATTTTAATGTATATATTGAATAATAACATAATATTTATGTTATTAGAAAATATAACATTTAATGTTATTTAATACCGAAAATAAGATTTTTAGAGCGCCAATTTCTTTCAGGATTTATATAATTTTCAATAACATCTGCTATGTGGTATCGAAACCACAAAGCACCAATATATATCAATTTTTAATTAACATATAATCCACTGAAAGGAAAATAGCTGGTTTGCGTTGAGCGATTTTATTAAATTTACGCGGTCAGATAACACAAAAATAAGCTATGTTTAATTAGTAAATTACATTTTAAATTTACTTCAATTTATTAAATTTAATAAAGTAATTTTTTATAAAATCAAAGCGTCCAAAGTTATATAATATAGAAGTATCGTGACCAGAATTAACAACCTCTGTGTGCCACATTGGTGTTGAAATACATGAGTTTTCTTTCATATCATGTAATATAGTCGAATATCCACCAAAGGACGAAAAAAAATTTTTTAAACGAAAAGTGATACAAACGAGTAAGCGGGTCACGATGTATGATGGTCACACTTGCAACGCCGGTTGGGGCAGAAATGGGCAGCGATCGAGGTTGGTCCTTCGAGCCGGACACGCTCAACGCAAACGGCGAGCGGAGACGGGGGCGCGACAGCAAGCGTCTGGCTCTCACCTTGTTGTAGTGCGCGTGCGCTCCGACTCTGCCCTGGTGGGCGCTGCCGTTGTCCGCCGTGTACGTCTTTACCTGGTGCGTGTCGGTAGCTATCGTCGAGATGGCGGACGCCGACTGGCCGACGGCGGCGCCCTCGCGGCGCTTCTTGCCGCCCTTGTAGGTGTACTTCGACGGGCGGACCAGACTGCGATAACGTTAATGCCGCGTCGTTATATATTTCATACTAGCTGCAAACAGCGGCTTCACCCGCGCGGCCAAAGGGAATTTTTATAACATCAATAAGTTTTTTTTATTATACACCGGAATATCTGACAGATGGCTGAATTTCTTCCTACTTAGTTGACACTTATCATTACCTATATTTTGGACAATTCACACAATATCTTTATAAATTATAGCCTATGTGTTATTCTGATGTATAAGCTATATCATTGTAAAGTTTCATTAAAATTGAAACCACGCAGTAGTTTTTGCGTGATAGAGTAACAAATATCCATCCATACATACAAACTTTCTCGTTTATAATATTAGTAACGAAGTAAGCATTTTTCATATTTTTTCAGATGTTGTAAGGCCAATACCGATGCCGAAGCCCAATACCTCGGCAACTGCGCCGCTGAGTCATCAACAATACAGACAATAAATGTAACTTTAGTAAGGATGGCAACGTCAGGAGTGCTGTGCTTGTTGCACCGGCACAGAACCGTTTTGACGGAGTGTGGTATCACCCGATAAGAGAAGGCCCAAGAAGGCCGTAGTTGCGCCGGGTTTGCGGAAGATTGCCTTCGTGTTCCCGTGTAACGGCTAATGCGATAGTGCAGATGCAACGTGGGTTTTTAGTGGGTACTTGTATTTTCCGGGACTCCCCCGATACCATGGCAGGGATCCATAAAGGGTTTTTTCCACGTTAAAAAAAAGGACGGATGCGAACAGCCTCGGTAGTTTCCACGTCTGTCCATCGTCTATTATATATAAAACGATGATTATAATCATTTTATGCGCTGTCATACCGTTCGACCGACCGATTGCGATAACACCGGTAAACGTAACTACAAAATCTATCTTAAAAACTAAATATTTCTCAGCGGCAGCAATGTGGCTTTTAGTGACCCTAACAAAATAACGTAATCGAGTGAAGAAAGCTCACCTAGGATACTGAGGTCCGAACTGAGTGTAGCAGCAGTTGTACCAGCAGCCCTTCGAGAAGGGGTTGTAGCCCCCCGTGAACTTGCCGGTCACCTGCTCGTTGGTGGTGCGCCCCCGCGACACCAGCACCATGTGGAACCCGGTCAGCCCGAAGATGGGAATAGCCAGCAGAGCTATTATGCCCATTATCACCATTCTGTTTTCTTTGCGTTAAGGCCAAGGGAGAACGAAGTCTTACGAAATTCACAAGCGTTATTATTCGTTATGCACACTAGCTTTTTTTTTCTGTTGTCGGTTTTTTTCCTTTTTTTATGGGAGAATGTGGCAAGCGAGCTGGCGGTTCAGCTGATTCTAAGTGATAACCGCTGCCCATGGACATTTGCAACACCCGTAGGCTTCCAGATGCGTCGCCACTTCTTAATAAAGTGGGTTCCGGCTACCTCAATGTTCAGTGACAACCACCGCCCATGGCCATTTGGAACAACCCTAGGGTTGTAGTTGCGGTGCCACCTTTTAAAAGTCTTCTATTTATTGACGACGCAGTGAAATTCTGAGTGGATATTATTATCTGTTACTTTTACGGTGTTAAGGCCACGCAGCACAGCCCTATAGTCCCGGGCTCATAGAATAGGACTAAGGTATCCCCTGCCTGTCGTAAAAGGCGACTAAAAGGGGACACGGATGGGCAGCAGCACGAAGTGGTCTCGTGCTGCTTCAAGAGGATGAGGGAATCGGAGAAGGTTTATCCTTCTCCGAGGCGTGCACAGGCGTAGTACCGAGGGACGGTGCGTTCCATGGGAGATCCCGGAGTCCCTCCAAATGTACGGAAGGCGGCAGCCTCGGCTGTAAGAACCCCACATAACCCTGTCATATAAAGTGACAGGGTATCTTTGTAAGATTTCCCCACTCCGCCGATACAAAAAAAAAAGGTCTTCTATGATGTCGTTGTACTTACTAGGACGGACCAGCCCATACGTGCAACAGAAAAGACTGTTGCGTGGCAACACCACCTCACATCGCAGGTTCGACACTGCTGTTCTGTCACGGCCCTTATAGGGAATAAGGGCCGTACAAGACACATCTGGTTGAACAATCGGACGTGGAAAAGGATACGAGACGATCGGCTCGACCTGCGTCAGGCTCTTGTTGTACATAACGAAGTACAGGCTCAGGCCGAATATGCTCAGCATGTGGATGGAGAGCGATATTAGGAAGAAGAAGAAGAAGCGGTAGTTCCGGCGGCCGATGCAGTTGTTCACCCACGGGCAGTGGTGGTCGAAGGTCTGCAATGGGAAATATCAAAGGCTTCAATGTAGTCCGTCTCCCTCTTTTGCTTACCTCTCGCTCACACTTGTCAATTCCTAGCTGCTCGTCGACTTTTGTTACCAAATGGAGTAATGGATGCCATCAATGCCAGGACCTTTATTACAATACACCTCCACAGAGATGACATATTCACGCGAGCAGGCGATTCACTTGATGTTAAGTGATTACCCACGGATATAATCTAAAACACCAGATGCGTTGCAGGCCTTTGAAAACAGTAGGCAGCGGCTACCTCACTCACTACCGAGCTCACGAGCCGGCCCATTCATGCCACAACAAAAGCTTTAAATTTCGAATAGCAATAACTACATCTGTCGTTCGAATTATTGTTGTAAACCGATATTTAAAATTGTTTGTCTGCTTTAAAGGTGATAACAATAGATGCGCCACACATTACTTGTAAAAATGTAGATGAGAAACAATATAGATAAAATAGGTTGAGATTTTCGTCGGTGTGGCTACCAGCCATTTAGTTTAGTGATTAAAGCATCTGGGCGCGAATACGGAAGATGCGATTCGATCCCCACAGCGGCGAATATATTTTCGTCCTTTTTCTACAATTTTTAATGTTTCGTCTTAAGTGCAGAGATTAGCACATTTATAATTCTTTTTTTTTTCTTCCATATACTTTTTTCCCTACTTGAAAATTGATATGTTATTTTTCTCAAAAAAAATTGGCAACCCTAACCTATCACATATCAATATACACTTTATCATCCAGTATATATTGATTAAAGCTTACATAATTAACGGTAAATAAGCAATAACATAGTTATTATGTAGTCACAAATTACCAGATAGCTTACATAATTCATTAAGCTTCGCCGACAAATGCCAAAGGAATATCAACTCTATTCATAAGTGTGATAGAGTCAAAACGGACTTGGAAGTACAATCATTAACGGCGTGTTTGCAATGGCGAAGGAAAATCACCTCTATGCAGTGGTTGCACACGGAGCAGTGGGAGCAACGCGGCGGCCTGTAGAACTTGCACGTGACGCACCATTTCATGCGAACGGTGATGCCGTTAATCTCCACGCTGCGGTAGAGGGGCGCTCTGAAGTCGTCCTCACGATCCTCGTCAGGTGGAGCTTAAAAAAATTAATATATATGCATATAATTTTTATCAAAACAGACAACTTTGCCAGGTAAGAGTATATTTTTAACAGTATGTAGCATTGGATAAGTAAATGGAGTAATTGGGAGCGGATAAGTAATCACCGCAATCAGCAGCAGATGGGCTCGAAAGTTCTTTAAAATGAGGAGCGGTGGTGTTGCCCTTGTTACTCTTCTTCTTCTTCCCTCACTAATGAGGATTGTCCATATGTAACCGTTACTGTTACATATGATCACATTATATCTCGTTACTCTACTGTCATGAAAAAACCGATAAACATAAATACTTCCACACTTCTCATTTGTTAGATTAGGCTTCCCCGCTCGAGCCTGCCTATTCCTCCAGTCACTGCCACCAGAACTGGACATTAGAAGAGCATTTCTGAAGTATGTTAAAGAAATTTTGAATTAAACCAGCAACCACAGAGGAATTAATGAAAGGATGTGGATGGTGAAGGCAAAAGTAGTAAGATCAAGAAAAATAATGCAATATGCGAGTCTACTCCCGTGGAAACAAGTTATAACATTGCCTATAAATCTCTGTATTAATTTATTAAATACATTCAAAAGTCAGACTATCTAGTATTTTATGCTCGATACTTGTAACAGACACACCTCCTTCAATTACTTTTCTAATTCTTTGTTAGCAATTTTGTATGAGTGTTTTGACCCCAATTAATGACCTTTCTGACCTACCTTTCTTGATTTGATTGACAATTAGTTAAGAATGTATGATAGAATATGTATCAATTCTATACTATCACAATATCATAAAAGTGGACTATTTGCTGTGTACTACATCAAGCATTTATTTTGTCAGTTTTAATAAGTTTGATTAAGTTTGATTAAATGTGAAGCAGAAAGACCCATATCTACATCATTAATATTTCATTAATAACTGAATAAAAATTGCAATACCAAATTAGTGTCACCATCAAAGCAAGCATATGCATTCTTCGGACAGGCAATTAAATAGTCATTATAATTATTACATTGTGGATAGTAGTATTATTATCATAAATATTAGCCAATGAACAACTTTTTATATCTTTTAACTAGTACTAATAAACAATTATTTAGATATTTAATAAACAGCATAATATATGATAAAAGTAATTTCCTCAAAACTTATATTCAAAATTACAATGTTTGCTATTTAGGGTTGGTAATAAAAATTGAATAAATGAATAAATTTTGATGATTTTTATTAGGTTTCCATACCCAAGGGGAAGACGGGGCTCTATTACTAAAGACGCTATACGCTGTCTGTCTGTTTGTCACCAGGCTTATCATATATCTCATGAACCATGATAGTTAGACAATTGAAATTTTCACAGATGATGTTTTTCTGTTGCTGCTATAACTACAAATACTAAAGGAATAGAATTGAAAATATTTAAGTTGAGCTCCAATATAACAGAAAAGATTTTTTTATAGAAACTCGCTGCTGCCCGCGACTATGTATGGATAGAATAAGCTGAAGGCGTAACATTCAGAAAAAAAGACATATACAGCGTCTCGTTACCATCGCGACAATAAATGAACACACGTCTAATGCTACTTGCCAATAATCATAAAAAAATGTTAACGTTAAACAAAATCCATAATTAAAAAAAAAATTTCAAAAAAACTAATTAAGTAAAAAAAGAAACAAAATTTGTAACATCCTATACAACTCGCGCCACAGCGTCGCATTACAAGCTTCTCCTTCTAACAGTATGTTTTGTCTCTTTTAAATTCATTCAACCCATTCATATGCTTTGTGACCTTTACAAATGAAATAGAAATACAGTTTTATATACGAAAGGGTGTTCTAAAATTGTTTGTTTTTGAAAATTTTATAACTCGGTAAATATTGATGTTTAAAGAATGTAAATGTTTAATACAATTTTAAAATTTTATTGTCGCACTTTGGGGGTAATGGACGGCAATAGGCTGATATAAATTGATCCTCTATATGTATTTATAGGTTACACACTGTATATAAAAATATGTATATAGGTTTAAAGAATTTATTCTCATAAAAACACAAAGTTTACATAAAATGAGATACGTTACAAGATATAAATTATAGCGTATGTTTTATTCTGATGTATAAGCTATATTATTATAAACGAATGGGCAGGCTTGTCTGGGTAAGAACCACAACCTCACAGAAGACTGGCGTAAAGTGGAAGTTTAGTACTTTCGCGTTTCTTCTAGTGAGTGAGGTAGCCGGAGCCCAATTTCCAGAAAGATTGTCAACGCATCTGCAAACCCTCGCGTGTCGCTGATATCCATGGACGGCGGTATTCACTTAACATCAGGTGAACCGTCTGCTCGTTTGGCAACATTTTAAATTAAAAAAAAAGTTTCTTTTAAATCCATTCAGTAGTATTTGCATGGAAGAGTAACAAACATCCATCCATACAACTTTAACCTTTATAATATTAGTAAGGAAGTAAGGATAGTACAGAACCCTTCGTGCGCGAGTCCGACTCGCACTTGGCTGGTTTTTTGAAGTAACTTCTCACTCACCTTTTGGTATTACCCCCGGGTCCATGAAAGTGGCCAGTGTAAAATTGGCCAAAACAAAAAATGTTATGACACCTTGGTATGCAGGAACCCATGGATGTCTGTGAAGATAATACTGGCACCTATAAAAGAAAATTAAGATTTTTTATTCCGCCCTGGGGTAGTGCCAAGTATCCAACTATCCCACCTGATACTAAGTAGTGATACAAATGAGAAACAATAGTAAAAGAATAAATAGTAAATACAAAATCCAGGGCTTAACTTATGTAATCTAAATGGATTGCATATTGATTTTTCAAAAAAAGACACACAGTTTCCATCCAAGGATGATCCATGAGGCTATTGAAAAAAAAAAAAGAAACATCCTAATTTCATTAGATGGTTAGGTATAATTATCGGCTTCAGATAATTAATAAAAAAATACAAGTACACTAACACTACTAGATCTTAAGATACCATAAGCTCTTTTTTTATGGATCAGAATTAAAAAAATAATAAGGTAATTGATGGTAGCCAGGCTGTCTCTGGCATTTAGTAAAAACAAGTCGGGTCACCATTGTAACCACGAATGCTGTTGAGGGTTCCAAAAGTCGAAAAATGTAATTGATGCGAAAAATCTGTGAAACATTGATCTATGTTTCACTGACTTTGTGATCCATACATGGCAAATGATAAACCTATCTCCATCATATACATATTTGCCATTCAATTATAGAAAAATAACATAATATATATAAATTTTTGGTGTGGAAGTAGAATATATAACATAAAATGGATGACAACAGTGGCATGCACAGATTTTGGTTTTAGACAGGCTATGCACTAAAAAGAAATTGATGATAATTAACAGGTCAATCAAATGATATCCAAAGTGGCCCTTTGAAAAGGCTGTAAGGTCTTAAGTTTCTTTTCTTTGACTCAAAAAAAAAAAAATAACAGTAACTCATGTTGTTTCAGTGTTTTGAGCATGTTTGTATTGAAACAACAGGGTATGCATGGCTTTTTTGCATGTATGTGCAAATATTTATATCAGGTATCTACCTAATATATTTATTTGCATAAATTAAAATAAGTTGTTGAAATAAAGTACTTAAACATATCATATACCCTAGCACCCTAGAACAATATCTGCTTTAAGCTGTTACATGAACAACAAGTGATTGTAACATAGCTCTACAAGACAACAAAGTTGAGAAAACAGGACATAAGAATCTCTGTGGTCGATCACTTCTTATTATTGATAATTTTATAATTCAAAATTAATAAAAGATTTTTTTAGATTGATATACTAATATTTTTTTAAATATACATAACATTAAAAATCTTTTAAATATTTAGAAGTATCTATAATAAGTACAATTTATGATTTAATGGTTCAAATGAATACTATGAGAATTTTTCGAAGAAGTTGACATATTTACATCACCATCTCAGTCATAGAATGCAGAAGAGTGTCTTTACTAACTTTGTTATATTAATATTATAAAGTTAAATCTATATTAGGTATTCTAAGAAAGCATTTAGACACCTTTGTTTGTTAATATAAATCTGCATAGTAATTTCTGACTCATATGGCAGATAGTTACCTTTGTTTATATCAATTTGGTAACCGGTATCACAATTACGGATACAGCGAGGATGTGTATTGTATAAGAATTTTAAGCAGCTTAATGTAAATAAATGTCTTCCTAAGAAATGGCCTCATAAATAGAAATGTAGGCAATTTATGACAAATTAGATCACAAGGGCAAAACAGAATATAAATACCCTAAATAGGGCAAAGGTAAAAGAATAAGATATTAATAGAAAAAATTCTATAATCTTATGTGAAAGTTGTCAACCCTAAGTATAAATTCGTATCAAATCGACATGATGTATACTTACGGAAAATAAAAAAACAGGGATGTTGTTCCTAAAAGCAGTGTCCAGGCGAATGTCGCGGGGATATATCTGGTCTTGAGGTCGCATTTGGGCATATTGTGTCAATTTTAATTCTCTAAAAGCAAATTATCTCGATTTTATTCACTACAGACCAACATGGCCGCGCCTATTATTTAGAGTGACAGAACAGACAGACAGCAGAAACGGTGTGGCAACAGTAATGACTTTGACAGATGTTGACTAATGAAATATTACGAAATTTATCGTTTAATTGTTGAAAACGAAAATTCGAATTAACATGATATATGTCACTATTCCTAAACGGCAAAAATTTTAGAACTAAATAAAAGTTTTTAAGTGTTTAGTACTATTTCCTAAAAATGTTACTTTCGACCACTTTCGACTATGAAATCACAAGAACAACACTAAGGTTTAATCTAATCTGTCGTCATAGAAAATTGTGATTGGAAAAGCGTATCACAGCCGCAGCTGAGCATAATGAAAAGAGGTATTTTTATTTATATCTATTTGTACGATTGTCTCGATGTTTTTTTCATTATTGATTATTAATTAATAAATATTGATTTTACGCTATTTAAAACTATTACTATGACCTCGTCAACTAATAGACGATCGATGAAATGTACAATTAGATAATAAATAATAAAATTGACCAACTACCTGCAATAATTATTTACTGATAATAATACCTAAATATAATGAAAAGTGTTATATTTATTAACAGAAACATGGTAATCGATAAAAATGTAGTTTAAATTTTTAAACATGTCACAATGCGTTGTATATTACTATTATCGATTAGAGAGTAGTTGTTACTTAGTGCACCATGTCTTTAAAAAATATTGTAAATTTTAAACGGAAATTAAATAAAAAAAAGGAAGGCAGTGCATATTTTTGTTTATTGATATGTAATTTCTTTGCGAATATTAATTAATATTAAAAAAAAAGTAATCACATAATTTAAACAGTTTGGTTGAAATATTAAATTTATAAGTACTTTTAATTATCTTCGAATTTATACTTAAATGCAATAACTAAACCAACGGCATTGTAATAAATAATTTTGTATTTATTGGTACATTTCTTTTTACAAATAACGTATTAACGCTATAAAACTAAAGTGACAAATTTCCTATGAGTAAAGACGTTTTTTTTATGCGCAAGAATTTTTTAGACAATTCTGATCTAAAAAAGTTTGGGCATACAAATAATGATAAATCGATCATTTAAATATTAAAAGTACGGAAACAATTTGAAAATGAACACGTATCATTTATTGGTTAAAAGACTTTCTTGTCATTTACATTTGGCTACTATTGGTTCATTTCTGCCCTGTAGTCTCGCGGATAAAAATGGCCGCAGTGTTGTCTAAGTGCTTGCGCTCGGTGATTTGATATTATATTAACGTATTTTTTTTATAGTGTTTATCAAAAAAACTGCTTATTTAATCGTCTTGCTATAAACTTATCAAAGTTAAGATGTCTGAAAGTACTAGCCCTAGCGTATTGAGTTATCTAAGACAGTACAGGTTTCAAAGAAAACCTAATGCTCCAGGTGCTAGCGGTACAGTGACTATTGCGGCATCATCTTCAAACTCTCGTGAGTAAAAAGTTTTTCTCAATAGGTAATTAATTATGACACTTGGGTCTTGTTGTCAGTCAAGATCACTCAGGACGCAGTGACCACGTTTCTCGACCCCGTACAGCCTTCAAGGTTCTAGTTTTTGTTCATTACGGTATCTAGAGAGACCATTAATTAATTTTCGTTAAAATTAACGTGATTAGGTATTAGTTATAGTGCAATTTGATAATGGGATTAATGCGGAAAATTTTAGTTATAATTTTCGTAAATATCTTACACAATTTTCTTTAATCTCTTGTGTGCGTTGCTCCACGTGAAACCTCAAATAACTTATGTGACGTTTTAATATTAACGATACAGTAGTTTGCTTATTGCTAACGTTTCATTCATAACCAAAATAGTACATGGAAAGGATGAGAAAATTTAATAGAGGGGTTTTTAGGGTTCTGCACCCAAAGGGTAAAATGGGACCCTATTGCTAAGATTCCACTGTCTGTCTGTCTTTCATGAACCATGATAGTTAGACAGTTGAAATTTTGACAGATGATATATTTCTGTTGCCGCTACAACAACAAATACTAAAAAACAGAATAAAAAATATTTAAGTGGGGGATCCCACGTTTTATAGATAATGGTACGGAACCCTTCACGCGCGATTCCTACTCGCACTTTGCCGGTTTTTTGTATTTTATTTTAATATTGTTAGTTCACCTTCTTAAGTACCCTTTTTTATTTATTTTTTGTTTCATAATTTTGTCAAAGGTATTATTTCTAACATACCTTAAGGTTACGATAGAAAATTATGTGGTGTCTTTAGATGATGAGCAAAACTCAATGCTTCATTTGTTTGAGGAACAATTAAAAGGTGCTATATAATGATGCTTTGTTACAGAAATAAATATGTAAAATTCCAACTAACTTAAGTTTTCCATTTCACTGAATTTATTAACAGAAAAGATATATAGCTATAGACAAATCACATTTTATTATAGTTATGTAAGGTTACAATTTATAAATCTAATTAAAATAGAAATTTAAAATCCTTTATTTATTTATTTTTTAAATTTAGTGATTCAATACAATATTGAATTACAAAATTTTAAAATACCATTTTTTTTTTCATGTTTGTACAGTTTTATTATTAATTTTTATATTAATTATTTTTTCAGAATCGCAAATAAGAATGCCGGCACCCAATGCTACCAAAAATGGGCCAATTGTCTACAAACGGATCAGAATTCTCGATTCTGATTCGGATGACTCTGCATCACCAGCTAAGAAGGCTGGTCTTAGCCAAATGGAGCTTACCACAGCTGTGAAAGAGAGAAGATTTCGGAACATGCTGGAAATGTTCCCTGAGATATCTCCTATGGTGGGTTTCAAATTTGATAAACTGTAAATGTACTCAATTGCTTTCTGTCTTAAGACATAGCTGATTGTAATAACAATTAATACATAAAACTTATACTAAATACTTAACTAACTTTTTTTTCATTCAAAGCTCATTAAAAACACACTGGTTAAACAAGGTTGGAATGAGGAACGCACTAGAGATGATTTGCTAAAGCATGATCCAGAAAGTGACGATAAGGCTGGAACCTCTATGTTTGTTAGTCCACGGCCAAGCTTCTCTGGATACATTGCCCGTCCAAATGGAAATATGGGTATAGTGAGAGTAACAAGTGGGCCTACAGCTGTAGTGAGGAAGCCTTTAGCTGCGAAAGGTGGTAGAGCAAGAAGAGGTAGCAGTGGCAGTGAGGATGATGACTATGGAGTTAGAAAAGGAAAAGATGATAGAGTTTATGACAGGTATTGTTTATTATATAACATAAGAAGGCTTAGTCATAATTAGTTTTGAAGTCTGTGGCCAGGGTATCTCAGTATCCACTTGCTTGTGTTTAATTCTTTGTACCTGAGTTTGAATGCTGGTATCAGTGAAATTTCTGATTGTAATTTCAAGCCAATCCACAATGAGGCAGTACAGTGGACAATGCCATTATGTGTTGTCTGTCCTAAAGAAGCCATTGTCAAGTAGTGGTACCTTACTTGCAACATGGCTAGTAGCTTATGTTACTGCATTAATAGTTCTTTTTAAAATAAGGTCTAAAGCAATCCTTCTCTGGGTATTTCTTTATTCAAATAATTTTTTTTCTATATGATAATTTTTTTTCTATATAACAGTAAAGCAATATGTTGTAGAACATTTCATTCATTATTTACTCATCAAAATGTCTATCAAGTATATGGGACAGTATCCAGCACCAATCTGCTAATTTAATGCTAGTTTATTTTGAAATTGTTATTTTGTGTAAATCTCTATAACTACTAAGCTAATTAGTGTTTAAAATGTGTAGTGCTGAGGGTATAAATTCATAGTTATATCTAGCCAAGCTTACTAGCCGACTATTTGGGTTTTTTCGAAATTAAACATTTATTTTGGTATACTTTTATTCTGTTTTAATCCAGCATATGAGTTATAATAACTTTTTTTTCATTAATTATTATATAATTTGGCTGTGGTGTACCCTGGCTGAACAGAAAACTAGCGTCAAGTGGATGTTATATAAAAAAAAGCTTTGTTTTATTGCAGTGATGATTCGGACAATGAAATAACTGATGATCTGGTGGGTGACAAGCGGAAAGTGTTTGAGTTCCTCAACACAAGTAACATGAATGAGCTCTCACTACTCAGTGGTTGCTCACAGAAAAAAGCAGATGCAATCATTGCACTGCGGCCATTTAAGGGTTGGTTGGATATGGTAAGTGCAATGTATAATGTATTTGCGCATAAAAGCAAGATGGGTTTGCTAAAAGGAATAATATTGATATTGTTTTGGTAAACAAAAGGAATAAAATGTTATGGTGTTTGCAAAATGTGAAATACTGAATCGATCAGTCAAATATATAACATTTTAAACATTTGTCATTAATATTTTAGGTTGAAAAATTCAACAGCAACAAACTGCTGAGCACAGAACTGTTAAATTCTACCCAGGAGTTGTTAAGCACAAGGAACAATATACAGCGGCTGATGAAGAAGTGTGTGGGCTTAGCTCAGCAGTTGGAGGCGGCAGTGGCGGCTGGCGCTGGCAGACTCAAGCAACCAAGCATATTAGACCAGAGGTTTGTACCATAAGCGAGTCTATAATCAAAACCACATTAGACTCTATATGTGTATAGCTACATTCAGCCCAATAGCTTGGGCTCTGAACTAAGAACACTGCGCTTTGGCAGGTTGTGGATTTGATTCGAATTTAGGAGAAAATTCGCATGCAAATATAAATTCGCCTTCCTTATACGGGAAACTATAACATAGTCTCATTTTAGTTCTGATTTTCCTCAAAGGTCATTGTAATTATCATTTCAATCCTAAATTTTTTGTGCTACTCAAGCACAAACACCGTATATGCTGTACGAACGAGTGGTTCGTCATTTTTCGAGTTTGTAGTTCGGCCAGACATGAGTGGTTAACCCCTCTCGATCTTTGATGATCTATAATCCGGTTGTGCACACAGATACATAAATGATGTTTTCATTCCCTAAAATATGTTTTTCCAGCTTGAAGTTGGCCCCATACCAGCTAGTGGGGCTTAACTGGTTAGCTGTTCTTCACAAACAGGGCGTCTCTGGTATACTCGCGGATGAAATGGGCCTTGGGAAGACTGTGCAAGTCATTGCCTTCCTTGCCCATCTCAAGGAGACTGGGCAGGCTAGGGGCACACATTTGATTGTTGTCCCCGCTTCAACATTGGGTAAGTTAGTGTACCAGTCATAATACCATTTCTTTTTTCCACTTTGTAATGTTATTAATAATTTTAAAAAGAAAAAATAAAATCATTAATTGTGAAAAATATTCCTCTACTATTCCTTTCCTTATTGTGTCAGAGCAATAAGGAAAGGAATATTAGAGGAATCAAGCTTAACTTAGGCTTGAAGACTGCCAGAGTAAACATTTTAATAGAAATGGATGATGAAGCTATCAAGTCAAAAGCTTAGTGTACAGTAAGATATAGGTTTTGAATATTCATTTGAAATAGTTATTATACAAATTATTATTTATTATACAAATTATTATTTATATAAAATATTATTTTTATAAAAAAAATTTAAGTGCTTAATTCTTACATGGTCAGTGGTGAAAATTGTGATAAACTGCATATAAAGGACAAAAACTGCAGTTATAAGTCCTAATACCCTCAGTACAGCGGAAGCTCTGCACAGCTGTAGACATGTATAGGCTGTTGCTTTATTTAATTTGTATATAAAATTTTAGACAACTGGAGCGGCGAGTTGGCGCGTTGGTGTCCCTCACTACGAGTCAGCAAATATTACGGACACCCAGACGAAAGGCGACAACTGCGTGTAGAGTACGCCAGAGGTTTGGACTCGATTGATGTCGTCTTAACTACGTAAGTCCACAAGATCTATTGAAACTTATATTAGCGCGTTTAATTTTTATTCTCGACTTTCGACACGTCTAGGCTCAAAAGTTGACAGTAGTCTGGCTCCGAATTAACTCTGATATTATGACGTCTCATGACCAATCCACTGAAGTGTTCGAAACATGCGGTGTTAACAATTAAAATGTAGCAATTTGAAGAGGTAAAGAGGTTTGAAATAAAGTTATTTGTTATGTAAAGATTTAATTCAAATTTAAAATAACTTTATTCAAATAGACGCTGCACATTCTTATGAAACGTCGAATTTTATTTTGTACCGTTAACTCTTATGTACACTTCAAGGGGATTTGAAAGATTTTGTTGAATCAAGGAAATCGTTATAATCATATTTAGGTTTCACTGTGAATACATGTAAAATCGGCACAATAATAAAAAATAAAAATAAATTTGTTGCGATTTTTATTCCAACTTCAATCAAGTTATCACAAACAAACAATAGCATTTACAATATTTCGCATTTCACTCTACCATGTATTGTTTTCCAGTTACACAATGGTGAGCAGTTGTCCCGAAGAGCGTAAAATGTTCCGCATCACGCCAATGCACTACGTGATATATGACGAAGCTCACATGCTCAAAAATATGTCTACGCAAAGATATGATAACTTACTCAAAATAAAGGTATGGATATTTTACTGTGTGTGTGTGTACACTCATAACTCATCGTTTTTATCGTAATTTTCTAATAAAAAGATTTTGTAATTTTAAAAAAAATTATTTCAGTCCAAGCACAGATTGTTACTGACAGGAACACCGTTGCAAAACAATCTACTGGAGCTGATGTCGTTGTTGTGTTTTGTCATGCCTCACATGTTCTCCGGCAAGACTGATGACCTCAAAAGCTTATTCCAGAAGAATTCTGTGAGTTATAAAATAGTTATCTTGTTTATTGTTTAATTGTAATGAACTCTCTATACGACACTTTTAACCTTTTTTATTTTATACTAGCTGTTAACCGCGGCTTCGCCCGCGCGGCCAAAGTGAATTAACAATGAGTTTTTTATTTTACACCAGAATATCTCGCAGATGGCTGATTTTTTTTCCTACTTAGTTGTAAATTATCATTACCCATATTTTGGACAATTCACACAATATACAGGATGGCTTTTCTAAGTGTATTCATTTTTTGTATTAAACTCTAGACATAAATAATGTTAAATAATAAAAAATAAAAAATGATAAATATTTAAAATCACTCTTAAGTAATTAATTACATTCATTTCAACTTATCTCAAAAAGTCATTTATTTTACGCGCGATCATTCATAACTAACACACACGCAATTTCGTGCACAGTAAAATTTAGGTATTTATGAATGATTACCGCATTGTCAACACGTTCTGTGTTTAGGAAATAGAATGGAATTTTTTTTTTGGAAAAAAAAAAACTTTGTTTTTTATTTCAATAAACTACCGAGTCTGAACCTCCTGTGTAAATTTGGGCACTTCTCAAAAAATCTCCCTGTATATAAATTATGGCCTATGTCCTATTCTGATGTATAAGCTATATTACTGTAAAGTTTCATTAAAATCTATTCAGCAATTTTGGCGTGAATGAGTAACAAACCTCCATCCATTCATACATACAAAATTTCGTGTTTATAATATTAGTAAGGATAGTAAGGATTGGGTTGGTTTTGTTTACTTTGTTGGTAAACAAAACTCTTTAAGCTTTTACAAAGAGAACATGACTACATCAAAATAATATTATGTAATGTTTAAGGAAATCATTTCAATCGTTATCGTTATCGAAACCATCACAAATATTAATCTTACTCATTTTCCTTTAAAAATTTTATTTAAGCTTGGTGTCCCATAATGGGAGGGCAAGCCATAGGTAACCCCCCATACAATACCATAGAGGCCACCATTTTGTCTAGTTTTTAGGGTTCCGCAGCGACTTGACAGATATCGTAATTGGTTGGTTATTGTAAGACCACATTTGATCGAACTAACCTGTGTAACCTAATGATCAAAATGTTCCTCAAATCAAAATATGACGACCACGGTTGTTATGGTCGCAGTGAAAACGTCACTGATGACGTCATTATTTTCCTCACACGGCGCTCACAATGAATCACCGGAAGAGCTGAGCCGAGAAGATTCGGAAAGAGACAATTTAAAAAAAAAAAGTACTTATTATTGTCTATACCGCAAATTTTTAAGTATTCGTAAAATAAAGTACAAAAAAATAGTATTTACGTTTTGTTAAAAGTAAACCTCACAGACAATCAGTTTATAAACTAGCGAGTCAGTTTATAAACTGGCCCCGGCTTCGCACGGGTGCAATGCTGAATGTTTGTTTTCGACTTCGCAATGTTTCTCTACTATATTATGCATGAATTAAAAACATATAAACCTTCCTCTTGAATCACTCTATCTATTAAAGGAAACCGCATGAAAATCCGTTGCGTAGTATTAAAGATCTAAGCATAAGCATATATAGGGACAGACGAAGAAGCTTATAAATTATAATGTAACCAACCACTTCAAGCCCCTGCCACATTTTCGAATAGATTTCACTTGAGTTTTACATAATAATGCTTCCCTAACAAGTGAAATGGGAAAAACGGCGATAGTGAGCACGTATATATATATATATATATATATATATATATCGCGACAATAAATGATCCTTCCTGCGCGAGTCCGACCCGCACTTCGTCGTATTTTTCGCGCAGGAAGGATCATTTATTTTCGCGATTGTAAAGACACGCTGTATAAAGGGTTTAGACTGGCGAATGGGAGTGAGAATTGTCGAAAAGACATCAACGCGTGCCATGAAAAAATCGGTCTTCTCTCTTTAATAGAAAACCCATTATACCTTCTATTCAACTTGATTAATTTTTTATTTTAATTTACAACACTTGATTTTATGACTTCCTTGCCAAAAGTTCAGAAAGCCAATTCGTGCAACGCTATTGCGTGGTCGTGTGACTATCAAACTAATAATGTTCTCATTGCAATCCTTTCAGAAAGCCAAAGCGACGAAGAAAACTAACGGCACATCCAACAGCGCGGAGGATGACGTGCCCGCTTTCGAGCAGAGCCAGATCACGCAAGCCAAGAGGATCATGAAGCCGTTCGTGCTGCGGCGGCTGAAGAGGGACGTCCTCCAGGACCTGCCGAAGAAGACCAACCACACGGAGCTGTGCTCGATGTCTGAGAGGCAGCAGATGCTGTACAAGAACCTGATCGCCGGTTTCTCCGCGAAGGACGGCACGGTATATATCCTCCCTGACCAAGATGTTGGCTTCGGCGCTGTTGGTCGCGGGTTCGAGCCCCACACGGGACAACTATTTGAGTGAACCACAGATAGTTGTTTCGGATCTGGGTGGATCTCAACACAGGATATTGTTATCCTACACTAAGGGCAATGTTTAAAAAAACCAAAAATATTAAATATATGAACCCAAAGCAGATGCCGTTGCATCTCAAAAGAGTTTAAAGACCTCAAACTCTGGTTATGTCAATTGCCAGAGGAAACGCAAAGTTACAAATACTTCTACTTAACGCCATTCTATTAATCTACCCACTCATGCAACATCGATAGCTGCGGAATGGCACTCATGTGGTAGAATGTTGGATTTAGAAACAAAAAATCGCTAATAAAGATTTAATAAACCCAACCTGACCACTAAATAGTGGTATGTTATCCTAAACAGTTTTATGTGGGATGAAGTAACACAGGTTTATAAGTTGTGTTCCTAATGTTCCTAAAGCAACAGCCTATGCTGTAGTACGAATGGGTAGGTCCGTCGACCTCACGACGACGGACCTACGTCACAGAAGATCGGCGTGAAGTAGTGTATTATACTTGTATGTTTGGTCTGGTGAGTGAGGTAATCGCTTCACTACATTAAAGCTGAACAAAACACATCGGCAATACGGGTGTTGCAAATGTCCATTGGCTACGGTTATCACTTACCACCAAGTGACCCGCCATCTCACAAAAAAAATACATCCGTCAAATAGCTATTGTGACCACATTGTGTAGTCTTAGCGGTCCCTCATTGGTCACCTTCGCGATCCGCGTTACAGATACACGCTACTACGGAGCAGAGCGGCATATCGATGATGATGGACATGCGCAAGCTGGCAAACCACCCGCTGCTGCTTAGGTACCACTACGGCGAGGGGGTCGTGAGGAAGATAGCGTCGCGGCTCGTCAAGGAGTCCACCTACAAGGAGAAGAACGAGCAGTACGCCTTCGAGGACCTCCTCTGCATGTCCGACTTCCAGATACATCAGCTCACTCTGCAGTACCCGGTAAATTGTTGACAGTCACTAGTGTATTGCCTCTCATAGTATGTATTGGCAAATTTGACCACTTACCCATCTGGTGCGGTGAGGTGAAAAGTCTGTAACTGTGATTGTAAGTACAACACAATATGTTTTTGAGTAATATTGGATACTCGAATTCTGCCCATACCATCCAGTTTAAAAATTTTGTCATTGCTGAATAGAACCACCAAATATGTAATAAAATGTGTGTTTTTAGATATTTATTTTAATCTAGCAAAATAGCGCATGCAGTGCTTGTGCCCATTGGATAGCATTTTAATAATTATTACATATCATGTAAGTCAATGTTAAAATTTTTGTTTCATTTAGCAGTTTTATTACCATTGCCATTAGGACTTAAAATTTGTTTGGTTTCCTTCTTATTGGTAATTATAGTCTTCTTAGTAGTAAACATTCTACCGAGCAATTGCAGGTTAGAATGTTCGTTTACCAACGTCTTATGAAGCAAATCTTTAATTGCAGAGTCTACGCTCGTACTCAGTGCCCGACCACTTGATACTGGACTCTGGAAAGTTCCAAAAGTTGGATGAGATGTTGCCCCGTCTGAAGGAGGATGGCCACCGCGTGCTGGTATTCAGCCAGTTTACCATGATGCTGGACATCTTAGAACCTTACCTGAATCTCAGGAGGTACCGGTACCTGCGGCTGGACGGTAGCACTGCGGTCACCGACAGGTATGGTAACATGCTTTTAGTGTAAATCTATAAGTTACTGTCTCTTGTCATCACCTAATGTGATCAATGAAGTATCTTTGAAAATACCTATTTCAACTTGTAGTGTAGGATTAGAAGTTTTGACAAATAAGTCACATTTCATCAAAGATGTATAATATAATTTGTGGGTACACTTAAAGATATAGTAATTCAATATTTTGGTACAATTTTACACTAAGTAACGGATAAATACTTCTTAAATATAGTTTTCCTTTACAAATGAAAAAGAAAACGCAAGTTCACTATCCACTATGCCAGTCGGTACAAAGTAACATAAATAAGGTATAAGGTTTGTATAATGTTGTTCTGAATTTGTCACTGGTGTTTAGTGACATATCCCTCAATTGTATATACTTGATAAGTTTTTACTTTCTTGAAAAGTGGACAGGATTGACTTGGAAATGTCGAGATACAAAACATGCCAATGAAACATCTCTCGTTCAGAAATGACAGCATCAGTTTCGTAACAAAAGTTTTGACTGTCTCTATTTGTTTCCTTACACAAGCTGATAGATGTTTTACGTTCAGGCAAGAGTTAATAGACCAGTACAACGCTGAGGACATCTTCGTGTTCCTGCTATCGACGCGCGCTGGAGGTTTGGGTATCAACCTGACGGCTGCAGACACGGTCATCATTCACGACATCGACTTCAACCCGTACAATGACAAGCAAGCGGAGGACAGGTACATGCTTCTTTTGTGTAGTTTTATCTGGGCAAGTCATCGATGTGATCATAATGATGGTGCCACCACAACACATTCCATTACAGTATTATTCCGTATAATCTAAAATCCAGATAATGAATTTTAAGAGACAAATCAAACAATAATTAACTTCTTTTTGATAAAACAAAAATTTTATTAACTTCTTTTTCATAGAAAGGTTTTTACATACTTAATTAAGACAATACAATATCAAAAAGGAATCGAGTAAACTATGTAGTAATTTTGGTTGGATTTTTAGTAAATTGGTTTTTGGAAATTTTGGTTGACTCCGTCAAATCATTTCCGAGTTCGTGTAGAGCTGTGAAGAATAAAATATTTAAATATGGTAATAAACTAATTCATCTATACATGCCCTTAACATATATCTATAAAGCTTGTAGAGCTAAATAATTTACTTTAAATACTTGTTATTAACGAAAATGTTTTTTTTTTGGCAGGTGTCACAGAATGGGTCAAACTAGGCCCGTTACAATATATCGGTTGCTCAGTTTAGGAACAATAGAAGAGGGTATCTACCAAGTAGCACAGGAAAAACTTAATTTGGAAAAGCATGTCACTGGCGCAGATGGTAAGTGTGAACTCGTTTAACAACTCATATGGCATGATTAACAATATACAAGCAGTTATTGTTTATAAGTAAGACATTAAATGTGTAAACCTTACCCACCTAAAAACATATTTCATTGACAATAGAAGTTTAGACTAGACTTAACAAGACTTTAGACTGTAAATATTCAGCAAAAGTTTAGCCATACTCTTACTCTTGACATTAAGACAGTACATAGTACTTATATATTAAGCTTTACAAATAAATTAGCTGGCCTCTGTATCGCTCTTGCATTTACAAAGCAAGGTGGTGTGCGGAAACATGATATATTTTTTTTATTTTAATATTTAATTTTTTTTTACCATTACTGATATTTTGTATGTTAACATAAATAATGCATCTCAATTTTTTATTTTACAGAAAATGAATCGACAGAGAACAAGAATGTTGTGCGGCTACTGTCTGCTGCTCTAGGTCTCACATCGCCCAGCAAATGACTGTTAGCCAACAATTCTGACGTTGTGGCCAACGATGCTGACGTTATCGTCATAGATTAGCAACCAGTCTTGTGACCAACGTTGGATCAAACGTGAATAGTACTTCAAGACCAATGTGTATGTGTGACTCAATATTTGTGATGCTATGTGATTTGGAAACCGGATGCAGTGTTCATTTATATGGAATATGTCTTGGCTACTTCCTAAGTGCGTTACATGATTGGTTCTAGCTTTGAAAGCGTTATTGAGTTATTCGGACATACAAACAACAATTGTCCTCGTTTTCTGGTTAGAAATATCTAGCTTAATATTCAAATAATAACAGCATTGCACTAAATAACTGTATAAAAGTGCTTGAAGATTTTACACCTCAAGTAAGTGTGATAAATTCAGTTTATTTTACATGTGAAAAAAAAAACCTCATTCATAAATTGCCACAACTTACCATATATCTATAAACGACCATAGTGTGTGATCTCACTGAATAGATGTTCCGTATAGTGTAATTGTTACTAATGTGTTACAAATTAAATGAAAATAAAAAAAATCTGTACAAATAAAATGGAAGGGTCTGTATAAAGAGATGTAATGAACACTTTTATATGAGTAGAGATTTAGCTGTAAAATGTATAAATAAATTATTTATAACACATGTGACAATTTCTATGAATTTATATTTTTTTGTGATCGAAAAAAAAAAATCTATCACATAGTTTGCTGTGGATTATATCAACAAATAAGTAACTACTTGTTATATATAAACTCTAATAGTACACTTATTATTCTATAGTGTTGAATGATGCAAGGAATCTCAGATAATATGTTAAAACTACACTATCAATTATTTTTGATACAATTATCCTTTGTGGACAAATTTTATGATCCTTTTAAATGAGTGATTACACAAATTATTATAAGTTGCACAAAAGTTTGAAATACTAAAAAGCTAGGTATATATAAGCAAAGTATATATTTTGCAGTAATTACATAGTCTTTAATTTTTTGAGATAAATTTTGACGCTACAAGTGGGCAGGCACTTCCAGTGATGTCAATTGATCCAAGGCAGCCATGGACATCTATAAAACTTGAAGGGTTTCAGAACTTAGCGTTTTTAAGTGAGTCTCTTGAGTATCTTGGTCACCAGATGAAAGGCGAAGGGTACTTCTACCCACACCAGTCATCTATGAGAATGGTCTCATGTTGGTGCTATAAATACTATTACGGAATAGTGTTTATATCAACAGGCAGGCCCAATAATGCAACAGCAGAAATTTCTTCATAGCTTTACCATACTATGTTTTTAAGTATCTAAAATATGAGCTGAATTATGTCAGTCATTGTCAAATTATTTTACATTTCACCCCTTGGTTTTAGAACAGTAAATAACATATGATTGCAAAGTGGTAGGAATTGGTGTCCTCTTGTAGTATTTTTTGTTATGATATGTTATGTTTCGTACTCAAATTTTCGGAATTAATTGATATGACAGATTTTGTTGAAACTGTTTTTAAATGCTGATATAACACAATAGCTATTGTCAATAGATGGATTTTTTTTTAAATAATTGCCTATTGGCCTTATCCTAGCCAATACAGTGAAGTAAATTGCATTTGAAGTAGTATCCTCCTTTAGGTCATTATTTGTAGATGTAAAAATCACATATGAATCAAATATGAATATCAGTTAACAGTGATATTTAACTTGAAAATGTACATGTATTATTTGTATTGTCCATGTAATTTATTGATATTTGAAACAATATCAGTATCTACAGAATTGTTGCATTTTTTTAATGTACTTTTTATTTGTTTTTACTACCTCCTTTTTAAAATAATATAGTTGGTCTTAAAGATTTTCTTGAAATTGAAATCAGCGAAATGAAGGTATGCCATTCTCAATATCCATTCTCGATTCTCAATGGTTATCTCTCTTGTCATAAGTTTCTCTTATAATACAACATTTGAGAAACTAGCCCCAATTGCCAATTACATTGGTGGACAGATTCGGACTTATTTTTGACAAAATAGATTTGAGAGCTATTAGATGCGGAATCATATATCATTATTTACCTTGCTTTGTAGCATTTTAGTGACTTTTAACCACGGTAAATATAATACCACCAATGCCAAATACCATACCCAATTTCACCATGGCGCCACCAATGCTGCTTTGAGAGCCGTCAACATTCGACGGAAAATTTATACTCAGTTTCTAAGTCTATACAGTAATTAAATCTGCATTGTCAAAAGTATATTTTCCATTTAAACTTTGGTTTTGTCAGAGGGAATTTTAATGTCTTTTATTGAAATAAGATTTGTAAGAAAGTTAGTTTAAAAAAGTATTTTAAATTTTTGTTTATTATTTTTACACTGGTAGAGCCACTCAACAGCTTCCGATGTTGCACGAATGGGCAGGCGCGTCCGGGGAAGTAACACGGCCTCATAGAAGACCGGCATGAAGTGGAAGTATTAAACTTTTACAATTCGTCTGTTTAGTGAGGTATCCGGAGTCAAAATCAATGCATCAGTAAGCCATCTTGTGTTGCAGATGTCCATGATGTCCATGATGTCCATGATGTCCATGATGGCACTTAACGTTAGGTGAAACGCTTGTTCGCTTGATCACTTTTTACATAAATTTTAATATAGAATATAGTTAACATCCCCGAAGTATAATGGTCAGTCATGAAATATTTTTAACATATTGTCATAGATTCTTAGGTCAAATATGACACTAAAGAATCTGATGTCGGTTGGCAAATTTTCACAAAGAACACATCTCTTAGTACATCCTGTGGAATATGAATAAATGCATGCAAAGTTCCTTTGGCAACATTAATAACACATGTAAAAAAAAAACAAAAAGCGGTATTTTTTGTATTGCGGTATTTTAATGTCAATAATCTTTGAAAATAATCCTTCTTCACGATTCTACACTTTTTTTAATAACTATTTGACACCCAATTCATGATCACGGAACTGTCCTCCCGGAACGTAGAGTAAATGATTGTTGAAAGATCTACGTATTTTGTAGGGTGCAGTGGGGTAATTCCGACATAAATTTGTATGACATCACTAAGGGTCCAGTTTTCGATTAATTATTGAAAGTAGTTTTATATATAAGACCATAATTGTTTTACATCTGTTTGCGTTACCAAAATAACTGTGTTAAATATTTATTCAATTTTTAAAATGCAATTGGGGTTTTGAATTAGAGCATTTGAAATATTAAGCTAATATTCTTTTCGTAAAAGGGATAATTACGAACTATCATGGGGTAATTCTGAAGTATTTCAAAAGTTGTATTTATTGAACTCTGGCCACAAAGTTCATATTACTTTTTCAATCGTAATTATGTGTTACACAAAATATACGCAATATTGTCCATAGAAACATTAATCTAATTTATTACAGCTTTGTTATTTCGTAATTACCCCTGAAAGTATGTTTGGTTCTCAAACTTACAAGTTACAATTGTAGGCTTTCAATTTCAATACTTTGTATTATTTAGTAAATAATAAAAAGTATTGGAAAAACCAACATAAATAAGGAATAGTAACCTAATTAAGTATTTATTTAATTTATAATCTTTTTCTTCAAGATACTTTCCAGGAAATCGAAATATTCTGCAATGACGAATAGATCTGTCATTTTCTTTTTACAAATTCTACCGGCTGTACTTTTTTAAAAGACAATTTATGTCGTTTCCGGAAATTAATTAACCAGGGATATTATTCTTAAATGGTGTCTGAATATTGTTTACCTGCACATATTCAGCGACATCTTCCATAGTTTAATTATTCTGCTAATTTATTTTCTTCTATAGGTATGACGGTAGGTATTCTTGCATTAAACCTGACTGTTGCTTTATTTCTCTTAACGTTTCATGAAGAGTCGTCAAGGGGATTTTATATACTTGAGCTGCAGTATATTAAGTTAGTTCTCCCTTTATAACTTTTACGATCGCTTGAGCCAAATCTTGTGAAGTGTATTTTTTAATTTTATTTCTTATGTAATTTCGGGACATGATAGATATGTAAAACAAATTTGTTAATAATGCAAATACATAAAAATAAGTTTGAGAACCACTGCTAATTACTTTGTGAAAGCTAAATGGGGTTATAAGGAAAATATAATATATCGGAATAAACCCGGAAGGGTATTTCCGAAAAAAGAAAATTAATAACAATTAGAATGTTATGTTCCTCGTACATAAACGCAAAATACGATATTCTATGGTTAAAGGGAAAACTTGTTCATGCAACTTACCAAAATTAGGAAATAAATTTAATTTCGGGGTTATTATGAATCACGAAAAATGACACGAAAAACACTTGTCCAAGAAAACTTGCTGTCACACACATAATATTGTCACTAGCGACTTGCTACGACTGAGACGGCGTGGTTATTAAATATGCTGTCTAGCCTAACGTTGCTAGTAGGGAAATATAATTATAATTAATAGAAATTTAACGATTTCGGAATATACCCGTTTTCGGAATTGCCCCACTGCACCCTATATGATTTCAAAACCACCGAAGTGACAAAACACTGATTTCACTCAATATTATTAGTTGTTTTTTTTGTTAAACTATTTATTAATGGGTGAATTCTTTATTTAAGTAGTTAATTTTTACTTTTAGTTTTTTTTTTTAATGTAACTGACATTCCGAGGCGGAACTTTTCAAACATCGTAATGTTGAGTAAGTAGATATGCATTTAAAACTCATTTGTTATAATTTGTATATTAAAACAAACTCGAATACAATGTATGGTACAGAATAAAGAAAATGGTGTATGAAAATATATAGGTATAAATGATATAAAACATTAATTGATCTAGCACATTAAAAAGTTAAATGTGTCCATTTTGAGAATCAAAATATTTCAACAACGCACAGTCTTATTGTATACATAATCGAATACAATGTAAATATTTAACCAAAATGCGTTTTTTGTTTTCAACAGACGATTTAGTGTGAACTTCAACTTAAATTTCAGTGTAAGCTCCGCCTCTTTTATATTGACTAGGTACTTTTATTGCCCTATTTATGGATCGCTTTCCATAAAAAAAAGCAATAACGATGTCACGACGTTATTGTTTTAAAAATCCATATGCACCACTAGCGGACCTGACAGACGTCCTGTACACACGACTTAATAAGTTATAAATAAAAAAAAGTAATGGACAGAAATTTTAATCAGACACAAAAAAGTTCAGTGACATATACACGTACAGAAGAATTATATATATGTATACAGCATGTCGTTACAACCGCGACAATAAATGAACACACATATAGAGGATAACTTTTTGAAATTATATTAAACATTTACATTCCTTAAACATCAATATTTCCAGAGTTATTAGATTTTCCAAAACAAACAATTTTAGAACAACCTTACGTATAAAATTGTGACGTAAAGTTCATTTGTAAAGGTCACGAAGTAAGTTGTAAGAATGGGTTGGGAATGGAAATGGGGAATTAAAAAGAGATAAAACATGGACTGTTACAAGGAGAGATTTGTAATGCGACGCTGTGGCAACGAATGAAAAACTGAGTGTATGTATCAGTCAGTTGTGGTTGCATAGGTGTTACAAATTTTGTTTCTTTAAAAATATTTTTTTTAATTATGGATTTTTTAACGCATATATTTTTTAATTATTGGCAACTAGCGTTAGACGTGTGTTGATTTATTGTCGCGGTTGTAACGACACGCTGTATATACAGAATGATTTTTTAGACAAAGTGCATACTTTGACATAAATTTATTTAAGCATTTTTTATAATTAAAAAAAAATATTTTATTTTGACAAGAAATAACTAGAATAACTAACAATTCAAACATTGTTTATCCCGTTAAAAGTAGTCAACCTATTGATAAACGGTAATTATGAGTTCAGCGAAAAGTTTTAGTGCTCGTCTATAGGTTTATTGTATTGAGATTTTATATTGGCAGGAATTTCTTAAGGTGTCCATAATGTGAAAAAAAAATAAAAATAATCTTTGAAAAAGAAATGAGATCACAAGAACTTACCAGATTCAGATTTAGAATCAAATTCTACATATGTCCTTCGTCTATAAAATCACCCTGTATAAAGATGTATAGATTAATACTTTTCAAAAAATGTAGAAAATTTAGAATAGTGCAAAGGGGGATGACATAGTATTAAAAGTAGTCATAATTTGATTTCTTTTTTTTATCCTTTCCTCAGCTATTATTTATTTAAATATTAATATTTCCTATGTCTAATACTTGATTCAGTAAAATTAATATTTTTTAATGTTTTCAGATTATTTAATAGATAAAATGTATCTCACACTGCCTTGTGTTCAATTTAGTGCTTATGAACTTTCAGTCTTTATGCTTCTTTAGCTAAGCTAGTCATTTTTTATCCGAATCACTATATACGTCCGTACCCGACTGATTCCTGACTGCAACTGATTTCCTCAGCTCAGAGGGAACTTTTTTTATGTGAAAAGTTGTCAAGCTAGCAGACTGTTTAAATGATGTTAAGTGAATACCGCCGCCCATAGACATGTGTTAAGGCCGAGGATCGCAGATGCGTTGACAACCTTTAGAAAATTGGGCTTCGGCCACCTCACTCCACACCAGACGAAACAGGTAAGTACTATACTTCCACTTTACGCCGGTCTTCTGTGAGGTCCGGAGGAATTATTTGTGATTAACCACCCATAAGGCGAGCCGTGATAGCACGCTTTTAATTACATTTACTCGAGCAACCTGAGGTCGATCCTCGGTGCCGGCACCAATGCAATCGTTAATTTTAAGTGCTGAATTATCACGTGCTCGGCGGTGAAGGAAAACATCGTGAGGAAACCAGCATATTTTCGAAATAATAATAAAAGAATTTGTTTCGAATATATGTGAAGTCCGCCAATCCGCAGTGGACTATGCCCTGATACCCACTTTACAGAGGAGGCCTTTGCCCATCCGTGGGACATTTACAGGCGGTTACTTTACTTTTTAACCACCCAGACAACTCGGTCTTCCTGAACTTGATGTTTGTTTCTAAGGCGTGTTGATGCCATGAGCATGCCGGTCGTAAAAAAACCTAGTTAATACCACAAACTGCACGATTCATAGTTATGCCGAACCTACCCAGGCGGGATAAGTGTACGAGGTTGATTATAAAATAAATAAGACCTATTTATCAATTCGCCGTTCATCGTATTGGTTACAGCCATGACAGCAGGCTAATAGTTTAGGGCGTAAGTTCCACGACCGCTCAGAAGACCGGAGTGAAGTGGATGTGTTCTATTCATGCGTTTAGTCGGGTGATTGTGGTAGCCGGGGCCCACTATATAAAAGTTGACAACGCATCAGCAACCCTACATGTGTTGCAGGTGTTAATGGGCGGCGGTTATCACAACATCAGGTTTACAGTCAGCTCGCTTGCCACATTCTCGAAAAAAAATAATCGCACACCGGTGTTTAATACCAACCTGAGGCGTGTAATAAAGTTGAATAACAGAGACAGCGGAGGCGCACGCTCGGTAGAATCGTACGTTTTTAGATGTGGAACAAGCGTCGATTCGTCTACTCAAATGGACCGTGACGTCTTCCAACAAACGATGAGCCGCACTGTATGCAGCGGCGTTCAGTAAAAATGTTTGCGCCAAAGACACTGTAAGAGAGTTGCAATGCTTTTGGTTGGCGCAAACACCTTAAAACCTTAAATACGCAATACGGTAAGAGTGGAACACAACGATAAAATGTAGAATACATACATAAACGGACATACTATCTCCTATTTAATGTTTCCTATTGATTGTTGTCTCCTTTCGGCACCAAGATAAAACTATAAATCGTGTAATAAAAACAAAACTAGTACACACAGCAAGTTTGGAAGCAAACTGCCGCTTTAGTTTTGGTTTCAAATTTTTATATACTAACTCTTCGTCTACGTCCTGTTTGCCTCACGACACTATTGTTATCAAAATAAGAAAAACGCCGCATGCAGATTTGGTCTTGGTCGGATCGTACCGTGCCAACGTTTCTCCAAACTAGTGTAGAATGTATAGACTGAACTTATTGTCGATCCAACTTTGTCCTGAACTAGACGTACAGTTTGTCTTCTGTCCAATGTTGGTTCAAACCAATGTATATAATGTCGTTATATACATTATATGCATAAATCATCAGAATCATATCACAGAAAGACGCCGAATGAACATTCGATGTTGGTCGAAGCGTACCTTGCCAGCGTTGGTCCAAACTAGTGTAGAATGTGCATAGTGAACTTATTTTCGATCAAACGCTGTCCAAAACTAGGCGTACGATTCGCCTTCTGTCCAATGTTGGTTCAAACCAATGTATATAATAATTTCAGTATATAGAAAGACGCCGCATGCACATTCGATGTTGGGGTAGAATGTGCATAGTGAACTTATTGTCGATCCAATGTTGTCCCAAACTAGGCGTACAGTTCGCCGTCTGTCCGATGTTGGTTCAATTCTGTGGTTCAAACTGGGCGGCTGGAGCGGAGACACGGCCGCGGCGAACGCTGTTGTGTCGGAAAAGCGCGGGGCGGGGTGTGCGCGCGCGCACGCTCAGTCGGCACACCGCCCGGGCGGGCGCCACACGACCGGAGTCTGCGCTAGCGGAAGGCGTCGCGTGCGATATAATTTCAGTGAAATACAACCGCGGTCGCGCCTATGAGACCGTTGAAAACGCGAGCGCACGATTCTGGTGAGTAGTATCCGTATAGACGCGAGGGAGTCGCGGACGGCGAGTTGGAACGTGCTCCGTAAGCCGCTTCTATATATAGTGCGCGCATATTTTCGGCCGCTGCATCGAGGGAGAGGTTATGACTAGCGTTTCCCCCCCTGACTAGTTGGTTTCCGCGACCGGCATGGACGAAACGGAATTGGGGACGCGACGCGACGCAGTTTCGGTGCAGCATTTCGCTAATGTCGTCGGCTGAATGAGCGCAGAGCGAAATGAAAGTGGCCCGCGGTAGAGCGAAGTTCGGGCCACGGTTCCACGCTTAACTGGCTCGGTTTCTTTCGACTAATTGCGGTGGTGCAGCACAAAATAGAGCTCTCCATCGGGCGCACAGTTCGCGACGCACGCGCGTGTCCTACATACCGCTGCGTCTTAACATCAACACCACTTTGTGCGGGCATCGTAACACGGCTCTAAAAAGAAAATCCACTTACGTGTGTACGACTTCTAACACTCCTATTTATATATTTCCGTTCCGATCTTCAATTAATCTTCTCGATTTATTTCTTTTTTAGATATGGGAGGAAAACGTAATTATGCCAATTAAAATACTTACGACTTGACAATGACACCCCAAAATGTTGGTAATATCATTAGCGATTCAAGTATCAAGACTAACATCGTAAGGGCTTGGTGCTGTGTTAAATCCTTGGTTAAATGCATCTGAGGTATAAATGGTTGAATGCGATATGCCTTTACATACATTTAAGCTACTCGATAGTTTAAAACCTAAACCGCTAAATAAAATTTAGTTTTCCAACGCATTAGCACGGCCTGAATGCAAACGTCAAGGACTAAGCGAATAGCAAACGAACGATTATTTGCAATGTTAGGTAATGATTTTCAAGAGGCAATGTTGGTTTTAGTTAGGCAACGAGCGATACCTAGCGAATGGATACAGGCCATCGAGCGAGGTCGCTCACCCCTTAAACAGAGCCGCCATCCGCAGACAGAATTACAGCGATCGCGTGTTGAATCTGCGCTGAATTACCTGTCAGCCCGCCATTTTATTTTACGGCATATCGTGGATATTTTTCCACGATTTCCTTTTTTTAACGCTTTCCGCGTTTTTGTTCTGACAGCCGCGTTAACGTAAATTGAAATCGTTTTTTGGTATACAAATTCAGAACTGCTTGTGGTCACGATAGTTTGTTTACCATGCAAATTATTAGTATGTTACAAGTGTCTTGCATTTACGCGATTACCCATTATAAATGAAACTAATTTTACGGATTTATCGCGTTTTTTTTTTTAATTTTAATTCCCGACGTTTCGAACCCTTTACAGCCTTCATGGTCACGGGACACACTGAGATATGGTAAATCCCTAAAATTGTATTAGAACAATTCGTCATTAAAATGTTTTAAGTTTTAATTATTTATTGGAAAACTTAAATAAACAAAGGTTACAAAGAACGGCAATGATTTTTGCCAAAAGGCCTTCTCTGCCAATCAAACCAGGATGTGTAACTTATGGTAGGTATTGCGAGGGATAGAGAATAGAAAGAAGAAAAGAAAGACAATAAATAGGAGATATGTACATTATAAAAATGAGAAATATATAATAAATAACACGTTCTGTTGCTACCATCATAATCAAAACTTAATTTTTATACCAGTTTTTAAATTGAAAACTTACGAAATGTCTCCTAATAATATCACGGTAGGATAGATTTAAACAAACTAAATGAACTTTGGGATCGCGTTACTTTTACAGTTTATCAAAAAACATTGATAATTGAAAAAGCTCATAATACTAAATCAAACGACCTCAAGAAGCATTAAACAGTTGCCTATATAGCTCAAGACGGGCCCTTGTTACTTAAACTATAACATCGATAAATATAAATTAGACTAATTGCAGACCCATATTTTATTATGTATGAGCAAGAAGATCTTCGATATATATCTATGATTTTAATTCGGTTAAACTTGACGACTGCTTATTTATTGATGAAATATCATGCATTATAACCTCTGGTATGCAATGAAGCAATGAAAATTGTAGAGTTCAAAAGTTAGAACTTCACAAGTACCGCTGTTAGATGATGGGACAGATGTTGTAAATTGGATTGGATTGTTAAACTCTTTGAACTGTTTCTACGATGCTCCGTTAGTGTGATTATTTAAAATCATACGCTACGTTGGTTTAAAGACTTGAGTTTTAGTAGTTAATAATTCTATTGGACCGTTCGAATATGATATTTAACATAACAAAGTCGTGTGGCCGCACACGCACGCGCGAGGGCGTATTGTGTGGGCCGCAATAAAAGGCGCGAAATGCTGCCGCCATGACACCTCCAATGCAATCCACCTGCGGCCTGTTGCATAAAGCGATAATGTAATAATTGATATCTTGTCTGAGGTATAATATCAGTCGTGTATTTAGTTTCTTAATACATACCTATACATATGTCTTATGTCACTTCAGACATTAGCTTGGATAGTGGTAATTTATTGTTTAAATTTAATAACTATCCAGTTTATTATTTGCGATGAATAATATGTATTATAAATTATTATAAAATATAATAAATTTTTATGAAACGCATTATAGAACAATCAGATAAATTGAATCTGAATTGTAACAGCAAATGAGATACATAGAATGAGATACTGATTCTGGTTGTCTGACTGCTGAAATGTAGTTATCTGACCTAATTTACATTATATTTCACAGTCGGAGTTTCAATCTTGCAGTAAATGCAGTTACTTTTACTAAGATCTAGCGTTGCTTCAAACCAGCGGAATTTTTTTTGGTTATGTAGTAGAGGTCTATAATAATAATACTGTATAACCCCTGAAATAATTAAAGGTTTTTTATTAGCCTGGCGATGTAAATTATTAAAAATCTAATCTATTAAACATCTAAAATATTAGTAAATAGACAATAAATGCAAAAACGCAATGTAAGTTTATAATAAAGTCTTTGAACAAAAGTATGATTTTGTACGTAAAAATGAGTCATCTCGAAAGGTATGAACTACCTCATACAGTGTAAGTTTAGATTATACGGTAGGTAACAGATGTGTACATCCATATTTAAGTCTTATTTGTATTTGCGGATTTGTCACGAACGTGTATAACTAATTAAAAATACTTTGTTCTGATACTAGAGTAGTGTCTTTTAAAAAGACATTACGCCATTACCATTTTACCTTTAAAGTAAATTCAGAAAACTAACTTTAATGAAATCAATGAATAAACGCAATAGGATAAAGAATTAGAAAAATTTTAATAAATTTTTATTTTTAAAATTCCCTAAAACAAAACTCAATCTCAAAATATCTTTATTCAAATAGAAACTTGCGCGTTCTTATGAAAGTCAAATTTTACATAAAAATTGATAGAAAATTCGTAAGTCAGTTACCACCGGTTCAGAAAGCAGTTACAATTGAGAAGAGACCGGCAAGAAACTCAACAGTTGCTCTTTTTTAAAAATATCAGGTTACAAGTTTATAATATAGCATGGTAAATGTATTTATTTGATTTGATTTTTATTTGGAATGTTATTTGAGCCTAAGTGAGTATCAACAGTATTAATTCCACACATAGGCATCGTCAAGAAATTGAAACTTATTAGATGTATTCACTAACATTTTTATGTGATACTATACTTTCTTTTCCGATAAACTCGTTTTCCGAATATCATTCTTTTACATTTTCATCACAGTTCCAAGTGAGTAAGCCATTGTAATAGGGCGTACTGGATTTCCATTATATCGAGCGGAATGACCTTGGTAAAATTGTATAAATTAATGGCCAAACGGAAACCGAATGGTGACGTTCGCGTATTGAAAAATGCGTGCTCCTTGGAAGTGAGTCATAACCAGAGGACTACTAGGATATCAAATGGATAACAAAAATGCAAGACAAAAGACCGCGGCCCGTGCCTACTGACCTAGACGACTGTGTACACAGATGCGGTTCGTTGCGCTAACCGCGCTCGGTATTTACACGGAACAGTGGGTTTTATGACCATCTAGCGTCGGACGAAAATGGCTTGCAAAAGCGCGCGAACACGTCGCGACATGGGCGGAGCTGCGCGCCGGTGTAAATACGGTGATGTCATCTGATGACGCGAGGAGACCAAGGTGTTGTTGGTTTGGTTCACGGCCCACGCCAATGGGTGCATGATTGCAATTGGCATAGATGACTGCACATTCCCCTCCCTCCTAACTTGAACTTGTTACTCTTTCTAGATTGCTTTCGTCAATTGGCCCTGCTAATAATATCTCTGTATAATTTAATTTTTATTGCTAGTATCAACACTTAAAATGAAACTTAAAAATGATAATTTATTGAATTGTTTATTGGATTACTAACGTAAGATACAGCCAATTGAGAAAATAACAACTTGCATGGATATCTCGGGGTTCTGGTGGTGACATTGTTAGTTTATTAAGCAAAGGCTGACAATTGATAGATCCATTAACCATTTTGTGTAAAAAATGTAAATCTAAATGAACTCGACGTACTGGGAGTTTTATAAGATTGAAATCCTTTAATTTGTCTTCCTAAGTTTTGATAGTTTTAGATTTTTTTTTCGTCGCTGTCAGGGATCGATTTTGCGCATTCAGGATCACGCAACAAGATGTCTCACCGCAAGAAAATCTCGATGTCTACTCAGTTGTCATTGCGTTTTTGAAATGTTTAGCGTAATCTATTGTGGCAGAGACGTAAAATATATTAAATAATTTAACCATATGCTTAGCTTAAGCCGTGATAGCTCAGTGGTCGGGCGCTTGCTTTTAATTCAATATATTCGAGCAACCTCAGTTCAAGAGGAAACCTGCATATTTTCGGAACAATATATAAAAAAAATTCGAAGGTATGTGAAGTATGCTAATCGGCAGTGGGGTCGCCGGTTGGTAATACCCTCTGTTCAGATGAGGCTTTACTTATTTTTAACTTTTATATGATCACTAGCGACCCGTCCCGGCTTCGCACGGGTGCAATGTGTTA